CATACCACAAGAGCGCACTGTGATCTCTGTGTCCTTCGGACACAGCTGATCACAGAGACCTGTAAAGGGCCAATCACAGCAGCCCTTTACCACGTGATCTGCTGTGTCCGATCACAGTGTAAATAGAGTTACCGGTTAATCTGTGACAGCATGAGGAGAAGAGAGCCGGTAATTGGCGATTCCCATGGGGATATCTACACTGATAATCAGGGCACTGATCATCAGTGCCCTGATTATCAGTGCTACCCCATGAGTGCCAATCAGTGCTCTCTATAAATGCCCATCAGTGCTGCCTATAAGTACCCATCAGTGGTGCCTGTCATTGCTAATCAGTGCCACCTATCAGTGCCTCCTCATCAGGTCCACCTATCAGTGCCCATCAGTGCTGCCTGATGAGTGACGATTCATCAGTGCCCATCACTGCTGCCTTATCCGTGCCCATCAGTGCCACCTACCAGTGCCTCCTCATCAGTGTACATCAGTGAAGGAGAAAAATTACTTATTTGCAAAAAATTTAGTCTGTTAGCATGTGATGTCACAAACTGACTATGGATCTATAGGCATACTGTGCACCATGATGAAAGGACACACACCGACCACACTAAGATGGATCTGTTTCCATAGTTGTTGTGGTCAGAAAACTACAGAAAGTCAAAGAAACTGTCAGGACCACCAAGTCTTTAAACTGTTAGTTCACCTTTACCAAAAACATTTAAAAACAAACTGTGCAGCTTTCACTAAAGTTAAAGGATGCCCTTGTTATAGGTGTAGTCCATTTACTTACCTCCTGAAACCAAAAATTCCCATAGACAGTATCATCCTGTCTTATTGCTAGGTCATTGCTAAGACACTCCCAGACAATTCAAAACCCATTGCATGCACTCTCTCTCTCCTTGTCTCAGTAGCGATGCTGTGACAGATGAGATAGTGGACCACATACAGTATGTGCAGGGGTTTGCAAGCTGGTTGTGTCTTAACATGCTAGATACAAGTAATACTATACGCATTATTTTTTAGTCATGGACTTTATGTGGACATATATAGAGAAACTGAGTAACCTTGAAACAAGGCAGGATGGGATGATGGCATCTCTGGGAGTTTTTTAGTCAGGCTTCTGGAGGTATGTAAACCCTTAAGGTTTCCTAAATTTATTCTATAAAATAAAGGAAATATTATGTAGATTATGAGGAACAAAGGAATATAGTCCCAACGTTTTATAATTAGTGTTTACATTCTTTTAACAGCTGACTTTTTGTTGTCCATGTATTGTATACAACTGCCTGTTGGTAGGCTATGTGATAAGATTGCCGTTATTTTGCCTATGCATTATCAAATTACTGCTGTTTAAAGGGCTATATTAGTATACTTAAAGTGATACTAAAGTTTTTTGTTTTAAAAAAAAAAAAAAAAACATTTCATAGTTACCTGCTCTGTGCAGCAACAATCTTCGTCTTCTCGGGTCCTTTGCCGGCATTCCTGGCCCATCCCACCTGTTGGGTGCCCCATAGCAAGCAGCTTGCTATGAGTGCACCCGTGCAAGTGCGCTCCCGAGCCGTGGCTCTGCATGTCCATTCACACATAGAGCCACGGCTGGGCTCCGCCTCCTCCCTCTCCTGATTAGCTCACTGGCTATGATTGACAGCAGCATGAGCCTGTTGCCTCAGCCAATCTGGAATGAGAGTCCCCTCAGAACCAAGATTCATGGACATCGCTGGATCAAGAGAGGGCTCAGGTAAGTGTTGGGGGGGGGGGGGGAGGGCTGCTACACACAGAAGGTTTTTTACCTTTATGCATAGAATGTATGAAGGTACAAAACTTTGAGCCACTCTAAGTCCCCTGTAGGCCTATCATCATCAAACCACTATTGCCCTGTTGTTTCTTGTAAGCTGTTCTTGAACCCTTGAGTTTTATCTATTTATTGTACTGGTCATTATAAATATTTATTTTGTTCATGACATTTTCTGAAAGAAATTCTGGCATGTAGAGGAGGGGGGTGTTAAATAGCTTCTAACTTCAGCTTGTTTCGTTAAAGTGTTACTAAACCCACAATAGTAAAATCAGTCCTTATATGCAGTAAAGCATGCTTGTTATACTCACTGTGGAACCTAAGGGGATTAACCTCAGCATTGTGTAAAATGACGGCTTGATGTTGTCTTCTTTGATCATTCCCTTCTTCTACTGTCCCCAATCCATCCGCTGATAGTACAGAGCTCTAGGAGTCACTCTGCACATCCTCAGTTTGGTGTATAGCTAGAGATTTTTTTTCCCATTTTTGTGTGTGGGGGGGGGGGGGGGGGGGTATGTGATGATCACAGGGCCAATCAGAGGGTCCTAGGTTATGTAGCCTCATAGAACAGTTAAAGAAGAATAAAAAACTCCTCCTACAAGTGTTACCAGTGTTCGAACGGAACACTTGTAGGAAGTCACAAGACTGCTCTAACTGCTGATGATAAAAGGTATTTAGCAGTTTATATTTACTAAAATAGATGCACTTCCATGTTGTGCATACTGTGGGAGACCAGATATAGTGAATGCAGGGTCTTGGGTTTAGTAACACTTTAAGCTTTGACAATAAAACATGGAAGCTGATTGGTTTCTATGCACAACTGCACCAAATGTTGCACTCTCCAATTTTTAGTAAATCTCCCCCTCTGTCTTTACTGCGGTCTTTTTATCCTCGTTTCCCCTCACTTTCAGATCTGGTTATCCGGAGAGGAAATATTCTCAGCAGCACAAAGACATCAGTAAGACACTGACCAATAACAAAAAATGACAGAAGTTCTAATCCCTCTCTACCCTGTCTAATAAATGGTAATTTTTAATTCAAAAGGTAATTCAAATGTTTATTTCAAGGGTATGCAAACCCCAAGAATGAACTTCTGTTATTTGCTTGCTTTTGGTCTGGTAAATATATGATTACAAGTGTTTTGTAGTATTTGTTTAAAAAGTAGTAGTGAAAAAAAACCTTTTGGTCCTGCTAGAAATCTTGTCAGCTGATAACTTTCTGTGCCTCACTCTTATCAGTCACATTGCTCTGAAGACTACAGAACCCATCTCTGCTATGGAGAAAATGAGAGGGGAGTGCTTCAGTAGTTTGTCCTGTTTCTGTTGTCCTTATACAGAATGTGATTGAGTGTTGTCGTTGTGGGACAGGCAGTGTCTTACTGGCAGGATCACCAGGTGAATATTTGAGAAGACACACCAGTATACAGTTAGGTCCATATATATTTGGACACAGGCACAATTTCCATACTTTTGGCTCTGTATGCCACCAGAATAAATAAAAAAAATAAAACAATCCTAATGACTTTGAAGCGCAGACTTTCGGCTTTAATTCAAGGGGTTGAACATAAATATCAATTTTAGGAACTGCAACCATTTTTATACACAGTCCCTCCATTTTCAGGGGCTCAAAAGTAATTGGACAATTGAATATAATCATAAATAAAATGTTAATTTTTAATATTTTATTGAGAATCCTTTACTGGCAATGACCGCCTGAAGTCTGGAACGTCATGGACATTAGCAAAGACTGAGTTTCTAATGCTTTGCCAGGCTCTAACTGCAGCGGTGTTCAGTTGTTCTACAGTTGTTTGTGGGTCTTTCTGCCTTTAGTTTTGCCTTCAGCAAGTGAAATGCATGCTCAATTGGGTTGAGATCAGGTGATTGACTCGGCCTTTGCAGCTCCTGGTTACTTTTGCAGTGTGTTTTGGATCATTGTCCATCTGTACTGTGAAGCTTCGTCCAATCAACTTTGCTGCATTTGGCTGAATCTGGGCTGACAGTATATCTCTAAACACTGCAGAATTCATCTGGCTGCTTCTGTCTTCTGTCACATCATCAATAAACACCAATGACCCAGTGCCACTGGAAGCCATGGATGCCCGTGGATGATTAATCTTAGTTTCATCCATCCAAAGAATGTTTTTCCAGAGCTGGTCTGGCTTTTTTAGATTTTTTTTGGCAAAGTCTAATCTGGCGTTTCTATTCTTCAAACTTAAGAATGGTTTTCACCTTGTGGTGAATCCTCTGTATTTGCTCTTGTGAAATGTTGTCTTGATTGTGGATGTTGACAATTATACGCCCACCTCCTGGAGAGTGTCCTTCACTTGTGTGGATGTTGTGCATGGGTTTTTCTTTACCAGAGAGCATCTTGCGACGTCCATGCCTTTTTATGTTGCTGAGCTCACCAGTGCGTTCTTCTTTCCTCAGAATGTGCCAAACTGTTGATTTGGCCACTCCTAATGTTGCTGCTAGCTCTCTGGTGGATTTGTTTCATTTTTGAAGCCTTACAGTGGCCTGTTTCACTTCCATGGACAGCTTCTTTGAACTTATGATGTAGGTTCACAGCAATAGATTCCAAATGCAAATGCCACACTTAAAATAAACTCCAGACCTTTTACCTGCTTAATTGATGAAGCAGTAGCCCACACCTGGCCATGAAAAAGCTTTTGATTCAATTGTGCAATTACTTTTGGTCCCTTGAAAGAGGGGGATGGCTACTCTTAGCTGTAATTCCTAAACCCTTCCTCCAATTTGGATGTACATACCCTCAAATTAAACCTGAGTGTACACTTTCATCCCATATCCATTATATAACTATAGCTTGAATATGTTTTGGTCAATACCTGAAAAATCTAAAATTGTGCCTGTGTCCAAATATATATGGACCGAACTGTAGGTTGGTAACTATGGGTGTAATAAAAAGTATATACTGTGCCACATTCTATTAGTAAAACAAAACCCCCTAGCCCAATTGCAGAAAAGGATGGACTTTTTGGACACCATAGACATTGCACACAGGATCACCAGGGGAAAATAAAGGAGATTTAAATATGCTTTAATTGATCAATATGTTACTGTATTTTATCATTTCACTTTCCTTCGCTCCTTTTACTTATTTACATTGTTTTGTGCAGTTTTTTTTTTTATTATAGATTATATGAGACTACTTGTAAGGGCTTATATTGGAAAGATGATTCATTATCTATTTGATTTTTTTACAGAATGGTGCTACAATGACCTGGTATCCCCCCTTTATTTCACATCATTTTGATGCTTCATCAAGATATTCTATTTTATACACTGCTAACTTTGCACGATTATTTGGTAAGTATGCATTTCCAGCTTTAGCTTAACATGTTTAAATTGATTTACAATTTTTAGAAAGCTAAGCAATTTCTTATTAAAATGTAATTTCAAAGGAAGTGCTTGGAGGAGCCAGCACTAAATCTACATCTTTACACGTAATGCACTTTTATGTGAATGCTGAGAAGAGGCATACCAATTATTAATCAACATAAGCTAAAAGCCTCAACCTATAATAAAACAGAATACAGCTCATGTTAGAAAGTGCAAAGTTGTAGCTTTTCTGTATTAGTGCAAATGAACTTTCTGCATAACATACATTGAACAACGTTACAAGTAAAAATGATGATGGAATATTGATAGCATAGTAGCTTTTCCTTTCCATGAATGAGGACAGGCATCCAACTACCCAGAAAAAAAAAACACCTGAGTGCAGGAAGCAGTGACTTAGGGTCCACGCACATTGGGGTTAAAAAATGCTGCTTCTAGGAGATTTTCATTTTGCCTATAGGAAGAGCTTAATGTAATCCTATAGGGTTGATTTACTAAAACCAGAGAGTGCAAAATCTTGGCCAGCTGTGCATGGTAGCCAATAAGCTTCTAACTTCAGCTTGTTTAGTTAACCAATTCAATACCGGGCAATTTTACACCTTCCTGCCCAGGCCAGTTTTCAAGTTTCAGCGCTCTCACACTTTGAATGACAATTGCGTGGGCATACAACACTGTACCCAAACTAAAATTTTATCATTTTCTTCACACAACTAGAGCTTTCTTTTGGTGGTATTTAATCACCGCTGGGTGGGGTTTTTATTTTTTTGCTAAATTAACAAAAAAAAGACCAAACATTTTGAAAAAAAAAAAAAGTTTTTCTTTGTTTCTGTTAGAAAAGTTTGCAAATAAATAATTGTTCTTCATAAATTTTGGCCGAGATGTATTCTGCTACATGTCTTTGGTGAAAATAACCCAAATTAGGATGTATTTTTTAGTTTGTAGGAAAGTTATAGAGTTCACAAACTATGGTATAGATCTGAATATTGATCAATCCTAAAGTACTGACAGCCAATCTAATTTCTTGAGGTCCAAGAATGTTAGAACAGTACAGGTATCCCCCAAATGACCCCTTTTTGCAGTCAGTAGACAGTCCGACGTACTTCATAAGAGGCATGGCGAGTTTTTTGAAGTTGTATTTTTTTTTTTGTCATAATTTTTCGGAAAATTAAAAAATTAAAAAAATTAGTTTCACTATTTTGTTTTTACATATTGTCACCAGTGCAGTACAGCATCATCATATAACTGGCATGGCGGTGATCAGGGACACTGACTGGTGACAGTATGAAAAAAAAATATATATATTTTTTTTTTAATTTTATTTAATTTTTTTAATTATTTTTTATTAAATTTTTTTTCTTTTTTTTAAGATTTTTTTTTTCATATTTCACTATGACCAAAGTAGTACAATGTTACCATAGTAACATTGTACTACTTTGGGGAAGTGATCAGTGTTTTTTTTTTTTTTTACACAATTTGCTTATAGCAAAGAATTACTTTGCTATAAGCAAGCATTTACCTGAATGACATCGATTCACTCAGGGTTTTTTTTTTTTCTTTTTTTTTGTGCTTAGCTGTGATTTGGCCACAGATAATCACATGACATGTACATGTGATTAGCTGTGACCATTCACAGCTAGGCACTAGTATGCAATGGATGGCATGAATGAAGCCATCCATTGTATACAACTGTCATGTGACCTGCTGTGATTGGTCACAGCAGGTCACATGGTACCGGCAATGGGGCTGATACTCAGATCTGTCATTGGCCGTGTCTGAGGTACATGGCCGGTGACAGATCGCGCCGCTGAACTGCTCTGCAGGAGCGCAATCTGCGCATGTGCGGGAGGACGCCATATGGCATCCACCTGGAACGCTGATGACATTTGCCGCTTGCCATTCGGCCATAGGGCGGGCGGCAAATGGTTAAACCTTGACAGAAAAAAAAAAAATGGAAGCTGATTGGTTTCCATGCACAGCTACACCAGATTTTGCACTCTCCAATTTTAGTAAATCAACTCAAATGTGTCCATGCACATTAAGATGTTTAGAGGCATATTTTAAGCTCAGTTTTTAGAGGCAGAAAAACCCCTTCTGGGTTGCTTTTTTGAGATGAGTTTTCTGGGCAGAAAAAAATGTTGAACACGTGTAAAAAAACACTCTATGTGAGCGTTGTTTTCTGCCAAGGGAACTGGTGTTTTTTGAAGCCCAGAATACCAGGACCCTAAAGCCTAGTACACGATGAGAATATTGGACAAAAAATACCACTTTCATATGATAGTCTGAACGTTCGTACACAGCTTTCAAGAAACGATCCCAACAGTTCATGCGAAATTATCCGAAGGACCAAACATTGTTTTCGTATAATACCAGAATAAACGATTTTCGTTTAATTGGTACAGTACACATCCGAAAAAAAAATTGGGAGACCAGGACCTCACATTCTCAGAAATGAAAGAATACATTACAGTACAATACCATATATTACATCACTTCTGAAGTTGTATTCTGTCATTAGAGAATTTTCATAACTTTAGTAATCTCTTCATTTTAAAAATGAGACTAGCATGCAGGAAAATAAAAAAGGACGATCATTCATCCGATATTCTCATCATTGGTACGAGGTTTAAAGCTAACTACCTTAAAGTGAAAATGCCAATAAAATTGTGACATAAAGCTTAAAGCGGGGGGGGCATGGACTGCTCAGATGGCTAAAATTCAGTGCTTCAGTCCTTTGTACCCAAATAATTAAGGATATCAGACTCTCCTATAAAGTAGAGCAGCCAATAAACACTAGTGGAAACCATTAGTAGAACCTCCCCACCTATTGCATCAATAGGTCAAGGCCTCATTTTACAAAGGCTAACCTTGGGCAGGTTTAAAGAACTTCTAGGCTGAAAAAGTATGGTTAGAAAATTTAAAATTATTATTTGTTTTTGAGTTAGTGGGTTGTTCCTATGGTGATATGGTTTCAAGTCTACAGAATCTTTTTAACAAACGAAGAGAAGCCCACTAGGTAGGGACATTAAAGCAAGAGGAGAGTCTGAACTAGGTACAGAGCATTCCAACCGCTATGGATTTCTGTAATTGCAAAAAATGGGCATGGCTTTGTGCCTAGACAAGGGGATGTCTGAGATAGGCTGGTCATCCTTTACTTTTTGTGATTTCCACTATTAAAAATTGGTAGAAAATGAATATGACATTTCTTTCATTACAGGAAGTAGTGGATGGTCTCCTGCCCTCGGAGATAAACATCCTTGGCTTCAGATAGACTTAAAGAGGAAATATAAAATAATGGGAGTTGCCACTCAGGGAACCTATAACACTTATTACGACTGGGTGACCCGTTACATCCTACTGTATGGGGACCGGCCAGACAGCTGGAAACCATTCTTTCAGCTGGGCACTAACTGGGTAAGTGTCATTGTCTAGATGTTACAATAAATATGTGCATTTAGATCTAGTACAAAGTTGCCATTGCCAAGCGGAAATCGAGCCCAAACATTTTTTGGGATAAAATGGGGATCGATTAGAACTTCTTTCATTATTTTTGTTCTCCATTTGTCTCCATTGGGGATATTTCTGCTAACTTTCTATATCCCAAACATAACAAAAAGTGAGAGAAAATCCCTCCAATATTTTGCATCTGCCATTAAGGACAACTATACATTTTTAGATCTCTCCACACTTTGTGTCTTTGGTGCAGTGGCAGCAATTTTTGGAGAGATGGTTACGGCATCCCCTATAGAAAGTAAACAAAAGAAAAATCTTTAAAACAATAGCGTTATTATACAAAATAGTTATGAATCAAATTTCCAGGACTGCTCAGAAAGAACAATAAAAAGAAGTGATTAAAAGCTGCATATCCACTTCAGCTATGGGTACGTCACTGGAGTTTGAGCTGTTGTACCCGTGTGATGCCTGCAGCCAGGGCCGGCGCTAGACTGTTTTGCTGCCTAGGAAAGACCAGCTACTTGCGCCCCCCCCCCCAAAAAAAAATTAAAAACAGTAGAAAACATTACATCAACAAAACATGAAACTGCTAAATTTTTTTAATTTGCAAAAATAAGTGCCATAAGATGCCACCGGCACCAAAATATCAGTGTCCCAGATGGACTGTATCTGTGGCTGGCAGTGGCAGGATCACAGTTGCACTGAGTGGAGGATGATGGTTCCACACTTTGACTGATCCCAGGCTGGTATTCCCCAGGCAATGGGGGGAGATAAAGCTGTGACAGCAGGCAGCCCAGCACACACACACACACACACACACAGAAAACACCGAAACTGAGCGATCCCACACAGTGACAGATCCGACACAACACACCACCAGCACTGACACAGATCAGCAGGCACTAGAAGAGCAGGCTTTGGGATCATTGACACATTGCACATTTGATGGATGACCGGCCGGGTCACACAGACACAGTCAGACATAACCTTCCGCTGATGAATGGGAAGGGAAGGGCTGGAACTCCACAGTGACCAGCAGCTGCCAGCCGGCTTGCAGTAAGGGACTGAGTCTGAGAGGAATACTGGAAGGAGCTGCAGCCCTGCTGCTACACTGGCCCCAGGCCATCTTCCTCTGTCCTTTCTTCCTCCCCTCTGCCACCCCTCAAGTGGAGGATCATTCATGATGTGGTGGCATCCCACACAGAAGAGTGCTGCCCTGCGCTGCGCCCAGGCACCCCTAGGTGGCAGTGCGCCCTAGGCATTCCCCTAGTTTGCCTAGTGGAAGCACAGGCCCTGCTTGCAGCTGCAGACATCATCCCAATACTGTTTTTTTTGAGTCTATGGTCTTCTGTCTTGTAATAGCAATCAGAGCAGCTAACTAGCTGCTGAATTGCTGTTACAAGCAGTGGGAGGGGATGCCCCCACCTTTTCCGCTGCCTTCCATTGGGAGTCCCAATCAACCAGCAAGCACTGCCACTGGCTGGTCACAGGGCTGAACAAAGACCGGATTTTTTTTGCTCTGTAATATAGTAACCAGGAAGCGATGACCAATATTTGTGTGATTAAATGCTTTTAAGGGCAGGGGAGAGATTTGTGGTCTCATTGACCACAGATCCCTTTATAAAGAGTACCTGTTGCATGCCTATTTCTGTCACAAGGGACATTTACATTCCTTGTGATAGCAATAAAAGTGATTAAAACAATTGTGACAGTATATAAATAAAAATAAATAAATAATAGTAGGAAAAATGTAACTGCCCCCTTCCAAGGCGAATGCACGCTTCAGTCCCGTGTGCATACAAACAGCGATCACCCCACACATGAGGCATTGCAGCAAACGGCAGATCGAGGGCAGTAATTCTAGCACCAGACCTCCTCTGTAAATCGAAAAAGTGGTAACTAGCAAAAAATACTGATTGTTACATAAAAAAGGTTGTCGCTGTTGCATAGGCGGGCACAATTTTAAGGAGTGACATGTTTCGTTTCTGAGCCACTAAGTAATTTTCCATCACAAATACTGATTGTTACATAAAAAGGCCCGGTCCGGAAGTGAATATAGGCACAACAAACTACAACTCACAAATATACAAATCATTAATGATAACAAAATGGGTCTCTCATAGGACTCTTCTGTACACTGGGCTAAACAAAGCAAATATCCTTGAGTTAGGCATAAAAATGTATCCTTGCACATAGTTATTGTATATGTCTCTAAAGTTATCATTTTGCATCCGTTATTTTGAGTTGTAGCAGACTTGATATACGGTATATTCATGCTTGTTTTAGCACATGCAAAGCAGACATAGTAAATATAGTGTGGATAAATTGCAGCCAGAATAAAAGCACTTATGGGCAGTGAAGAACATAAGGCATGAGCAATTTTTCAGATGTAATAACTTGTAATAAAGCCACTTTGTGTCCATCAGAAATGTCAGATTTTTGTTCATAAATGCTGGTGTAAAGCACATACAAAATATAGTCACAAAGCAGACAAACAAAAAGCAAACAAGACAAAGCTGAAGTCAAGTAAATTGTATTACAGCATATAGTTTCTACTACTGTGTCCATTATATCGGATTGCTTGGATTGTGGTATACATTCTTGCCACTGATAGCGTATATAGAATACTCACAGGGCCAACATGCAGCTAGATTAAACAATGTAATAACCTTATGAAAAAAGGTTCTGCGGGCATAATAATCAAACCTCAGCGTTTAACTGTTACTTGCATAACCTACAGTCCAGACAACATACAGGCCCAAATTATTACCTAATTGCAGCCAAAAAGTTTGCGATTTAAACAGCTGTGGTTTGTGGTCAAATATGAGTTAAATGCCACATTGATGAAATTCCACCAACATAATAGGCTCCCTATTCACCCTACACCCTTCCTCGACCATATAACAGCCTTAGAAGCTATGTATAGATAGAATAGATGTTTTGAATACAATTAATGGGCCCCTTGTGTATTATGCAGTAAGACCGTCAGTGCCAGGGCAAGGTCATTCAATGCCCAGGGCAAAGATGCCAAACTACCCCACATCTCCTAGGTTAAATGGGGGACAGGGTCAATACAGGCGTTTTCAGTGTTGATATATACAGTATAAGTTTAAAAGTGGTGCACGTTCTCTCCCGCAGGAAACTAGGGGGCTAACAGTGATGAAGAAAGAAATGTTAGTATAGGTTAAAAAATGCCCCAACATCAGTTGTATCACAGGAAGTAAAAAATGCCACTGCATTGAGTGGTGTCACTGGAAGTAAAGAATGTCCCTGCATCAATTATGTCACTGTAGGGTAAAAAAATGGCCCTGCATTGGTAATATAACTGGAAGTACAAAATACCCATGCGTCTCAGGAAAAAAAAAATGCTGCTGCATTGTTATGTTACTGGTAGTTAAAAGAAAATGCTCCTGCATCAGAATTGTCACTGGAAGTGAAAATGTTCTTGTGTCCAGAGTGTCACTGGAAAGAAAAAAATGCCCATGTCCAAGGTGCCACTTGAAAGAAAAAATATATCCCTGCATTGGTGGTGTCATTGGAAGGAAAATATTTCCCACATCATTGTTACCTAAAGGAAAAAATGCCCCATGTCGGTAGGGTCACTGGAAGTAAAAATGCTGCTGCATGGGTGGTGTAAGAAAGGAAAATACCCCTCCATCCATGGTATCACTGGAAAGAAAATAATGTCCCTGCATCAGTGGTGTCACTGGAAGAACAAAATGCCCCAATGTAGGTGGTATAACTGGATTTAGAAAATACTCATACATTAGTGGTGTCACTGGAAGAGAAAAATGCATTTGCGATTATATATAGTTAGGTTGAATAAAGTCCACCGACTTCAACCAATAGAAAAATAAATAAATAGAAAGCCATATACACAATGCAGAGGAAGGCAAAAAACCCTGTGAAGCATTCATTCAGGGTCATGTGATATGTCACCTGAAAAAGGGAGACAGTATATCATGACAAAAATGGCATCCATGGGAGAGTTCCAAGTTGAAAGCCACTGCTGACCAAATAGAACACAAAGGCTCGTCTCACATTTGCCAAAAACATCTTGATTTTCCCAAAGACGTTTGTGCAAATATTTTATGGAGTGATGAGACAAAAGTTGACCATTTTGGAAGGTGTGCATCCTGTTACATCTGTCGTAAAACTAACCCAGTATTTCATTAAAAGAACATCATACCAACAGTGAAACATGGTGGTGGTAATTTGATGGTCTGGGGCTGCTGTGCAGCCTCAGGACCTGGATGATTGCCATAATTGATGGATCCATGAATTCTGCACTCTGTCAGATAATGCTGAATGAGAATATCCGGCCATCACTTCGTGACTTGAAGCTCAAGTGCACTTGGGTTAGGCAGCAGGGGGTTTAGGGGGAAATTATTTTTCCACTTAGGACAAGGCAGGTTTGGACAGCTTTTTACCCTTAATAAATGAAATCATCATTTTAAAACTGGTCTGTACCAGACAATACAGCCAAGAACTGAACAGGTATCAGGATTTACATGCCAGTGTCATGTCTGAGCCTGCTTCTTGGTCCAGGAAGTAGACGGTGTCCCTGGATGATGCCCCAACAAAGATGGTGTTGACTTTGTGGAGAGAAAAGCAGCAGGCATTGTTGGGGGAAGAACTGGGATAAATACAGTAATAAGTATCTGGAAGTGTTAAACTGATACAATACTTTGCATGGACCTAGCAGGAAATCTTACTGTATATCTTAAGACAGATTCACTTTAAGATGATGTTTGCTCAGCTGGACATATCTCACTACACTGGAGTTGCATTTAACCAAAAGCAGGGGAATTTAAAAGGTTTAAGGCCTTGTTCACACCATGTGCAGAGATGTGAGTTTTTCTGCACTCGTTCTGCAAGGACACAAAGAAAATAATTGTTCTGTATGTGCCCTGTTCACACCACAACACTAGTATCATATGCAGATTTTTCCTGCACAGGAATCTTTAACGTGTATTAAGCTCACTGCAACAAGCATGAAAACTGATGTAAACTCGTGTCTCTGCAAGTGAAAACTTTTTTCCATGAATTTTTCTGGTGTGAACAAATCCTAAAAGTGGAACTTTAGTTGGAAAATGATGTCCTGCTAGATCACTTCATGCTGCCCCCAATTGCAGATTTACCTATGTAAAACAATAAAAACTAGAAAAGCTACAATTTCTGGGGAAATTGTGTGACGTGTTCTTGCCTCCACCAGTAGTCTACAATGTCAATGGACGGTGTGAGTTGCAAACAAATGGTCATATTGTGAAAACTATCAGGACAATGGCTTAGTGGCAGCAGGGATAGCTGAACGTTTTGATATAAGATTTGTGTAGGTGGGCTTGAAAATGAGGGAGTGATGGCAGTTTAGAAATCTTGTCCTGATTTTTCAGCTCACACTCTAGCTTTTGTCAGCTCCCACTCTAGTTTTGAACATTGCGCCATTCATTCCTATGGGACCAATTTCACCACAAAAACGGCAACATTTCGTGAACCATTCTGCGAAGCATTCCACAAAGTAATAGCACACCAATCGGGAACAATCTGCACGTTTCGGTATATTACTGTCTATGTAGTGTAAAAACTGTGGGAGGAGTTAGGGTGGTAAATTTGGCTATAATAATAAGAATATATATGTGAGATAACAGTAAGTGGTCTTGCCATGCAAGAACACTTAACAAATGTCTACACTGTTTAAAATCCAGTAATAAACTGTCTGACCTTGCTCTACACTTGCTCAGTTGATCTATAGGCATTTTTAGGCCCTGCAGAATTTGTAGAGGCCAATTTGCTGACACCCTTAAAGCAGAATTGAACCCTCCTATCCTTTACAGCCGAGGAAGCGGCTTCTGTTTGATCTGCAACTGCCAAGATTCTGCACATGTGATCAGTTATGACACCAGCCATTTAATGGTTTGAGAGTTTGGTTGAGGACACAAGCAAATGTGACAGTTACCAATCCCCACATTCCAGGAATGTAACTGTTTTTTTTTAAAACCGTTAAATTGATGGATTTGGTTTCTGTTTATGATTTACTGCTGTTTGAGAGCTTTGGGCTTCAGCAAAATGGCCGCCTCCAGCAAAAGAAGAAACAGGGGCATTGCTGGAGGCAATATACAGCACACACTCATTTTGGTAGCATAATTATTATTGTGGAATGTATGTTGCTTGCTAAAGAACATTATTTTTATGAGGTTGTTAATGGGTAAATTTCCGCTATTATACTCAGATTATTTAATTTTGATGTTGGTAAGATACAATCACTAGTGCTCCAAAACTGAATATGAATTCTATGGACAATAGTACATGCTGACATTTTATTATTAAAACAAATTTCTCTTTTATACCACAGACCTTTTTTGGCAATGTCAATACATCCGGGGTGATAGAACACCGCCTCCACTATCCTGTCAAGGCTCGCTACCTCCGCTTTATTCCTGTGGCTTGGAACCCTAAAGGAAAGATTGGACTTCGGGTTGCACTGTATGGCTGTGAATACAGTATGTCATAACATATACATAAGACATAGTAATGTCATTTAACTTAGAAATAATAGAAATTGTAATGATCTGGTGGTAAGAAATCCCAGCTTCCCTCTCAAATCCTGTACATTCACCATTTCAGACCAAGTTACATAGTTAAGTTGAAAAACGACACCGCCAATATAAAAAACATGTAGAAAACCTCCATATACACAATTCTGTACCCACAGTTGATCCAGAGCAAGGCAAAAAAAAAAAATAAAGCATGACCTTATTTGCTCCAGCAGGGGAACAAATTCCTTTCTGATCACCCAAAAGGCAATTGGATATTCCCTGATCAACTACCTCTGGTGTCTTTACCTATACAGTGGGGCAAAAAAGTATTTAGTCAGCCACCAATTGTGCAAGTTCTCCCACTTAAAAAGATGAGAGAGGCCTGTAATTGGCATCATAGGTAGACCTCAACTATGAGAGACAAAGTGAGAAAAAAAATCCAGACAATCACATTGGCTGATTTGGAAAGAATTTATTTGCAAATTATGGTGGAAAATAAGTATTTGGTCAATATCAAAAGTTCATCTTAATACTTTGTTATATATCCTTTGTTGGCAATGACAGAGGTCAAACGTTTCCTGTAAGTCTTCACAAGGTTGGCACACACTGTTGCTGGTATGTTGGCTCATTCCTCCATGCAGATCTCTTCTAGAGCAGTGATGTTTTGGGGCTGTCGCTGGCTGGCAACACGGACTTTCAACTCCCTCCAAAGGTTTTCTATGGGGTTGAGATCTGGAGACTGGCTAGGCCACTCCAGGACCTTGAAATGCTTCTTACGAAGCCACTCCTTCGTTGTCCGGGCGGTATGTTTGGGATCATTGTCATGTTGGAAGACCCAGCCACGTTTCATCTTCAATGCCCTTGCTGATGGAAGGAGGTTTGCACTCAAAATCTCACGATACATGGCCCCATTCATTTTGTCCTGTACATGGATCAGTCGCCCTGGTCCCTTGTGGAGAAACAGCCCCCCAATGATGTTGCCACCCCCATGCTTCACAGTAGGTATGGTGTTCTTTGGATGCAACTCGGCATTCTCTCTCCTCCAAACACGATGAGTTGTGTTTCTACCAAACAGTTCTATTTTGGTTTCATCTGACCATATGACATTCTCCCAATCCTCTTCTGGATCATCCAAATGCTCTCTAGCAAACTTCAGACGGGCCCGGACATGTACTGGCTTAAGCAGGGGGACACGTCTGGCACTGCAGGATCTGAGTCCCTGGCGGCGTAGTGTGTTACTGATGGTAGCCTTTGTTACGTTGGTCCCAGCTCTCTGCAGGTCATTCACTAGGTCCCCCCGTGTGGTCCTGAGATTTTTGCTCACCGTTCTTGTGATCATTTTGACCCCAGGGGGTGAGATCTTGCTTGGAGCCCCAGATCGAGGGAGATTATCAGTGGTCTTGTATGTCTTCCATTTTCTAATTATTGCTCCCACAGTTGATTTGTTCACACCAAGCTGCTTGCCTATTGCTGATTCAGTCTTCCCAGCATGGTGCAGGTCTACAATTTTGTTTCTGGTGTCCTTCGACAGCTCTTTGGTCTTCACCATAGTGGAGTTTGGAGTGTGACTGTTTGAGGTTGTGAACAGGTGTCTTTTATACTGATAACAAGTTCAAACAGGTGCCATTGATACAGGTAATGAGTGCAGGACAGAGGAGCCTTCTTATAGAAGAAGGTACAGGTTTGTGAGAGCCAGAAATCTTGCTTGTTTGTAGGTGACCAAATTCTTATTTTCCACCATAATTTGCAAATAAATTCTTTCCAAATCAGCCAATGTGATTGTCTGGATTTTTTTTCTCATTTTGTTTCTCGTAGTTAAGGTCTACCTATGATGCCAATTACAGACCTCTCATCTTTTTAAGTGGGAGAACTTGCACAATTGGTGGCTGACTAAATACTTTTTTCCCCACTGTAAATGTTAGCAGGGTTTTTTTTCTCTGAGAATAGGTGCAGGAACTCCACATTTCTGAGTCACCCCTTGTTTCCACCCCTTACCTACCTGCGAGCACCATCCCTTGGTTCCACCCTCTACCCACCTCCCAGTACCACTCCCTTTAGAAAATACAGAGGCAAGTATAATTTTGTATGTAATTTGTTAACGACTGAAAGAAAAACAGTAAAAAAAAATCCCCCCAGGAATAATAGATTCCCTCAGCAACAATGGACCCCTACAACAAAATACCACCCCAGCAACAAAAATACCCCATCAGCAACAACCGTTCTCCCATCGGCAAGCAGCAGTAGACCCCTCCCTTAACAGTGGATCCCTTCCAACAACAATTGACATCCCAGCAACAATAGATCCCTCTCCAACAGCAATATACCTCCCCAGCAGCAATAGACCATCATGCAAAAATAGATCCCCTCCAATGAAAATAGATCCCCTAGCAGCCAGCATCAATAGAACCTCCAGCACCCCTTGCCATTACATACATTGAATACTGGAGGTGCCGGAACTGTGTCCCCACCTGAAAAAAAAAGCCCTGAATGTTAGTATCCAGTTATATTTTGTGCATTTAGGAATGCATTCACCTTTTTTTTAAAAAAAAAACAACCTGCTGAGCTAACCAGAACCAGCTCTTGAGGAAATCTATTTTGCATTTTTCCCAGCTCTTACTGTTAAGAAACCTTTCCGTATGTGGAGGTTAAAGCTTTTTTTCTCCAGACATAGTGCCCCTTTGTCTTCTGTAATAACTCTACACCGATTTCACTATATGAACCACTGATGTATTTATACATGTTGATCATATCCCCCTTAATCTCCTCTTCTCAAGAGAGAATAAATTCAGTTCCTCTAATCTTCCCTCATAGCTGATCTCCTTCATGCCTCATATCAGTTTGGTTTCCCTTCTCTGCACTTTCTCCAGTTCCCCAATATCCTTCTTGTGAAACTGGTGCCCAAAACTGACAGGTAACAGGTTCACTGATATATAGTAACTATGCACTCACAGGCTTCATACTTACCTTTCATTACCCTTTCATAAACTTGTAAGCTTCAAGTACTCCATGGATTGGCCACTCAGGTACTAAGCAATGCACTGTGGGAGATAAGAGAGGTAATACCTGGAAATACTGGGTATTTCTTATGAAGATTTTTCTCACTTTGGAGAAGAGGTACTTAAGAGGAGATATATGTTAATGTTAATTGTAGAAAGGGTTCTTTACTTTTAGAGCAGTAAAATATGGAACTCTTTCCCAAAGGAAGTGGCATTAGCTACAAAAACTTTAAAAATGTTTAGATATTTTCATTAAGAAACAAAATATACAGGATTTTGGGAATTTTTAAAGAATAAAATTCACATGCACGTAGCTTGATCTGGAGGGGCCGTGTTTTTACCAACATTTAAACTACTGTTTGTAACTATTTGGCAGACAAACAAGGCACTGGTGGAGGACTTCCTGAACTTCACCACCATCCAACCGGGCTATAGCCATCAGACAGATACAGTGCGTTTGGCTGGTTCTGGGAGGGCATCTAAGGACAGCTTTTCAGAACCCCACCCCCCTGTGTGCCCCCTCAGAGTTTGCATCGGGAGCTCATTGGGAGCGCTCTGTGTTTGCTGTGTCCTTTGGACACAGCTGATCACAGAGAGAGGTAAATGGCCAATCACAGCGGCCCTTTACCACAATGAGATTTGGAGTGGGATTTGGCGATTCTGATACTGTTGCTTGCTGTAAAGGGGTCTGCCCTGCCTGCATCTACATATGTATCTGCTTGCCAGCTTTGTGAACCTCTCCTGGATATTCTCCAAGATGAGTCTTGGTATGGAGCATTACACCTATTTGTATGAATAAAGTGACTAATCAGGTCATCAGGGGGCAACTCTGACATGAAGAAGCAAAGCCCTGCTCCTTCACCAAAATGAAAGCCCCCCTCACAGAGACACAGTGCAGAACAAAGACATGTATTGGGGAAGCATCAGCTGCAAGGTGTTTGCAGGCAATATGGTGACTAGGCCTTTGCCTTCTAATTGCCTGTTTTCACAACTTCCACTATCCTGGTCATTAACATAATCCTGAAAGGACAAAGTACGTTTGCTTTTAAATACATTTATATACATTAGAGGTCTTCAAACTGCAGCCCACAGACAACATCCAATGGCTATGAGGCTTTGTGGGAGATCCTCGGATGGTGACACTAATGTAAGAGGGGACTGTGGTGCAGACACTGGTGTAAGGGGGCCCTGATGTAAGGGGGATCCTGATGGAGATATTAGCGTAAGAGTTGGGACTCTGATGGGGACCCTGATTTAATGGGTCTCTGATGGAGACACTGGTGTAAGAGGTGAGATTCTGATGGGGACCCTGATGTAATGGGGTCTCTGATGAAGACACTTGTGTAAGAGGGAGGACTCTGATGTAATGGGGTCTCTGATGGAGACACTGGTGTAAGAGGTGGGATTCTGATGGGGACCTTGATGTAAGCGGTGAGTGTGATGGGAACCCTCACGTAGGAATGGACTCTGAAGTTTCACTAAAGTTCTTTAGCAGTTGTTCTGAATCGAATCATGTTAATTACCCATGAATATTTGTAATGTATATGATGTGGCCTTTGTACTAAAAAGTGTGGGGACCCTGCTATATATCATTGACTCTGTAGCAGAAAGCTGCAAAATATCTGAAACTTTCTTACTGCCCTGTACCTGTTGCTCCACCAAAAACCAATTATAAATGGCGGTGCTGCATGTTCAAGCCTTGTTTCTTACCCTAGGTTCACACTTATGCAAATTTCAGTGCATTTTCCAGTTTGTAGAAATGCATTACAGTGATTTCCTATGGATCTAGTTCACATATATGAGTTTTGAGCCGGTGAGTTTTTTGGAAAGGGTCAGGGACTTTTTTTTCCCCCCCGCAGCAGATTGAGTTTTACGTGTAATAGACTTCAATAGGCCCCCCTGCAAAAACGCAAGTGTTGTGTTTTTGATGCATCTTTTTTTTTTTTGCCGTTTGGAAAGTATTGACTTTTTATGCCACTTTCATGCGACTTTGGATGGGTATGACTTTGATGCGACTTTGGATAAGTATGATTTTGATGTGACTTTGATTCAACTTTGGATAAGTATGACTTTGATGTGACTTTGATGCAACTTTGGATGGATGTGACTTGGATGCTACTTTTTTCGTTAATAGAAAAGGATAACAGTTCTGTTTGTTTATGTAGTACAACTTTGATGCAACTTTACGCTCTTTGGCACTCAAGTAGCATCAAAGTAGTTCAGGAAACTTTTTGTGTCCAAAGTTGCATGTTAAGGGCTAGGGTTAGGGTTAAATGTTGGGGTTAAGGGCTAACATTTCATACTAATTGAGGGCCACAGAGTGTAAAGTCGCATCAAAGTTGCATCAACGCTGCACTGCACGAACAGAGCTGTTAAATTAGCATCAAAGTCACACTCATCCAAAGACACAACAAAGTTGCACCCATCTAAAGTTTCATCCAAGTCGCATCAAAGTCTCGCCCATTGAAAGTCGCATCAAAGTTGCACCCATCCAAAGTCTCATCCAAGTCGCATCAGGTTCAGTTTACACTGCCGCAACTTGCGATCCAACTTGTGATACCACAAGTCACATGACATGGGAAATCCCATGTTTGTCAATGAGAGCTGTCTTGATTAGCACTACTGAAGTCGCTCCAACTTTAGAAAAGGTTCCTGTACTACTTCAAGGCGACTTCTATCCAACTTGTGCCCATAGACTTTAATGGAAGTCGCATCCACATCGGATCCTCATCTATATTGCTGTGATTTGGATCCCATATTACAGGACATTACATTCTCATTGACCACAGGCAAAGTCGCATGGTATGAAAGTCACTTTAAAGTTGAAATGAAGTAGTACTCAAGTCGCATCAAGTTGCCAGCAAATCGCCAGGAAGTCACCTGGCAAAGTCTCACCGTAAGGCCCACGACTTTCAGGTGGCAGTAGTGTGAACAGAGCTTTAAAGTCAATACTTTCCTATTGGCAAAAAAATACAAAACACATCAAAAATGCGTGTTCAAAAATGCACCACAAAATGCATTGTGAAATCGCACAATCTGCATAAATGTGAACCTAGCCTAAATGACAAAGAGGATCATTGCAGGACTCCATACTCCATTCATTATATCCAATCCTACCTCCCTTCCTTTTCCCAAACAAATTAAAGTTTCATGGGAACCAATTCCTCTCTGATATGTCCTTCTATGTCCTCAGACCATGATGTCCTGTCATTTGATGGCGATGACCTTATTTCATACCAGTTCAGGAAGAAAACGAATCGCACACTGGAAGATGACATCTCTTTTAATTTTAAAACACTGGAGAAGGACGGAGTACTAATGCACGCCGAGGGGACTCAAGGAGACTACATCACGCTGGAGTTAGTGAAGGCTGAGCTGGTCTTCAAGATGAGTCTTGGTATGGAGCTTTACTCAGATTTGTATTAATAAAGTGACTCATTGGGCATACTGAAATAAAATCCTGACAAAGACCTAGATCACATTTAATCTTTTATACATTGCACATACGGTACATACTGTACATTTATTAGTATAATACAGAGAGTGAAAATGTTTGATAATTTATAGAAACATTTTGATAAGAATAGCTGTGTATGGTAGAAAAGTTGTTATTTTTGTCATGTAAAGACATATGCCAGCAACACCATGTCATGGTTTGGGACCTTTAAATATAACTCCACCAAAAACTTAGTTTTGTTAGGGCATGGAAGGGTTAGAACCTCTGCAGGGTTTTTATTTCTGTGCCTCATTTGGGGAAGTCTAAGCTAACTTTTTATTCTTGTGACTATTGTATTGAGAGAACAATTGAGGAGGATTCTTAAAATTTATAAATGACATGTGAACACTGGTAGATGGTCTGTTTTCTCGTGGCACACTTCTTCCAGTGGCAGCTGTGTGAGATGGGATTTCTTCTAAATTTGGGGAGATTCCTCTCCTTTCCTGCTGCATCTCTAATGGCAGGTTTTAAATCTTCCCCACACTATCCAAAACAAAACAGTCTGCAATGATATGTACTGTATATTCCTAATGCACACTAGACATTTTGCGATCTCTCCTATACATCTTTCCTCCTGGTAACAGAGTGTTGGCAGAAAAAAACGCTTGACACTTGTAAACGTGTGTATGTGTGTTTAGGCAACGCTAAAGCGTTAACAGCATTAATTCATTTCATTGGCCAGAATAATAATTTAGTGTGGCCATTAAAATGAATTAATACTTGAGCCCTAAACTTTTCTAGCTTTAACATGTGTTTACACCAAGTGTTTGTCTGCCAAAACTCTGCGCTGGCAGTGGGTGTTTTCTGCCTCTAAATGCCACAGCCTCTAAACTCCTTTAAACGCCTGTAGGCTAACATGCAGGTGCATTTAGAGGCAGGAAAAAAATGCCAGCCGCACCTAGGAGCAGCATTAAAAACTTCCAGTGTGCATGAGGCCTAAATAGGTTGGAAGAATCATTTGCCTTTTATATGACAAAAAAGAACTAGTACACCAGCATTATGGGCACAGCTTGGATATCCAAAATCCCTGTAAAGAGAAAGCAATTATATGTAGCCATCGCCTGAAATGAAATGGGGGGAAATTCCCGCAGTAAAGACACAGACTTCAGTAAAAACCCAATGGAGGCTCCAAATCTCTCTGGCTCTGTCCAAACTAAAAATAAAACGTTTTTTGGATGGAATTGGCATATAAAGGCATGGTAACCATTTCTACATGCACCTTGTGTTTTTCACCTTCATAAATTGTATATTGATCATGTAGTTTCATGGTGTCATTTGTTGCCCTGTGCACATAGTATAGAGTAAATCTTCACATTCCTGTGGCAGCAGTTTTGTTTTGTGTTAAAACATGAAGCATTTGGCATGGCACTGCACAGGTCAATGCATGATACCGTCTGTAGTCTATGAACTGAAGGAACTAATATCCCACAATTCCTGGGCCTCTCAGTCTAGTGTTCTGCAGGTGATAGCAAATCCCCCAATCCTCCCTCCTAGCATAAATCCCCCCAATCCTGCATCCTAGCAGAAATCCCCCTAAATCCCCCCTTCTAGTACAACCCCCCTTTAAATTACCCCTCCCAGCACAAATACATCCTTCCTACCCAAATTCCCCCTCCTAGCAGAACCCCTCCCATTCCCCCCTCCTTGCATAATCCCCCCCCCATCTTCCCTCCTAACACAAATCCCCCTAATCCCCCTCTTCCAGCACAAAATCCCCCCTCCTAGCACAAATCCCCCCTCCCCTGCAAACCACCTTCCTAGCACAACTCCCCACCCCAATCCCCTACTTAGCACAAATTCCCCCCAATCCCCCTTTTAGTACAAATTCCACGTCCAAACTTCCCTTCTAGTGCAAATCCACCCCAACCCCCCTCTGAACACAGATACCCCCCCAATCCTCTCTCCTAACACAAATTCCCTCTCCTAGCACAAATGCCCTCAATCCCCTCTCCTAGCACAAATTTCTCCCCCAATCCCCCCCTTTTAACACAAATCCCTCCCCCCAAACTTCCCTCTTACTCCTAGTACATATACCCCCGTTCTTTTTCCTAGCACAAATCCCTATTCCCCCCCCTCATCCCATTACTCTTCCCAAGACAAATATGTCCCCATCCACCCTCCTGCACAAACCTCATCTCAGCACAAATGATTGTTACCACTCCCCCCTCCTTTCATTGTGTCATTGTGTACAGTTTTCTCAGCCTGTAAGCTCAACACCCTCCCCCCCCCCCCCCCCGGAGCTTACAGACGGGAAACCCGGTAGAGGTGCAGGTTGTGCTTTCACTCCTGTCAGTGGAGCAATCCTCCATACAGTAGATGACACAGGATCGCCGTTGGATGGGGCTGCAAACAGTGTGATTACCCTGCCCACTATCTCCTCCAATGACCGCTCATCTTTCTGCAACAGGGAGCCAGGGAATGAATCAAACACTGAACATGCCGATGTAAGAACGATCCTGTCTGCTTTATGGAGGATCGCTCCACTGACAAGAGGAGAGCACAGCCTGCACCTCTCAGCTCTCTCCTGTCATTTCTCCTTTGCAGGCTTCACTGCTCCAGGCTGCTCTCCCCTTGTCCCATTCACGAGTGCGGGGATGGGGGAAGGCAATCAGTGGCCAGGCACCGTGACCATGGAAAGACAAGCCTGGGGGGCACAACACAGGGGATATGGCTACACTAATAACTAGTTAAAACAAGGAAAACAATTGAAAGTGTACAACGACTTATTGAAGTATATATTTTGACTGTGTACATAGTTATTTGGCTGATGTTCTGCTTTATAATAAAAACACAAAACATATGTCACTATATTACTTACATTGTTGATTAGCTGTAAGCACTTGCTAACAGAAGCAAATGTATTGAAGTTCTATTATAAGCATTGCAAAGTTAGACTTTACATATCAGAAATATGATGAAAATAAATTTGCATTTATTTCTTCAATGGCTGGCTACCAGGCAACAGCCCTCTCCACCCAGTAGATAGTCACACAGTTACCACACTGGGCAGTTTGCTGGATGACCAAGCATGGCATTCCATACATATTCAGCGCAATGGACGTGAGCTCAACGTAACACTAGATGGAGAGGTGCAAAGGCTTCGATGCAAGGGGGACTTTGACCAGCTAGATCTGGATACTGAGGTATGATTCAGCATTCAACCCTGTGTATATTTTCTAGTACTTCCATGATGGTTGGCAAAGTAAACATGTAATATGTATGCTAGAATAACTATAATGAAATGCAAAAATGCAGACAATATGGTTAAAGCTGGCTTCAAACATAGAAGGTCAGTCACATTAGTGTTAAGACAGCCTATTCTATTCTTAATGCATTTATAAAAGTACTTGACACGTTTTCATTGTGCACAACATAAACATGTTCTTTAATCCATGAAATGAACATTGTGGTGTACGGCAGCACAGGGGCATTTTTGCATTGGTACATTTTTGACTGGTACACATTACAGAGAATTAACTAAGCTTACTGTGCTATTATAATGGTGCAGGAAACTGTCAGAAGTGCACCACATGAACTAAGGAGACCTGTTTCAGGTCTGTCTGTGCCCCCTGCACATCTTTCTATTTCAGAGTGAAATAGAAACTAGCGCAGGTCTGCCTCTAATTAACAGAGGGAATGAGGCAGTTTTCCATATTGAAAACTGCTGCAGATTCCTGACAAGTGTGATGTGTCATGCGGGATGAAAACCGTCAGCAAACAGCTCACATCCCTCCCTTTGGTTGTGCAGTGATCACACTACACCAGCAGAGTCTTCAGGTTAACAACCCGCCTCCTCTGAGCCAAGCAAGGGGTTGGGACGGCCAGAAGGATAGAAGCATGCTGCTCCATCTTTCATGTTCTCTGTGCTGCCTGTCAAAGATACAGCAAAAAAGAGACCTGATCACTCCTAATTGCCAAAGGGGCTTGTGCCCCTTTTGGTAATTAGAAACAGTATATAGTGGTGCAAGCTTGTGCTTGTACCACTCTTTATTAAATCCTTCCTCCCTTGTGGTTGTGCTATGCCACACAGGTGCATTTTTGCATTGGTACATCAGTGCTTTTGGGGTTAACTCTTAATCAGGTTATTTGGATTGAAAATAGTGTGCCTAACCTCACCTTCAGGCAACAAGTTGAAATAAAAACAACTGCAGGGGCTAGGACAGGACAGAAAGAAGAAAGTATAATGTTGAAGTGTTACTCATGTTGACCAAGTGGATGTTTTCTGAGATGGTATTTTATTATGTACTTACTAGAGTAATGTAAACTAGAACTAAAGTCTGTCTACATAAAAAAAATTCTGTACCCAAGAGCTTACCTTTTTATTTCTTTTAAGGAAAAGTACATTTTGCTAAACAATCCCATGTAGATATCTTGCAAAAGACACAGTTTTTTTTTCTGCCTATGTTAAAATTGTATTGATTTTTCTTTGTGCCTAGATATTTTTTGCTGGTATTACATATCAGGATAAAAGCATCTCACATAAACAAAACTTTCGTGGTTGCCTGGAGAATATAATCTATAATAATGTCCGCATTGCTGATCTTGCCAGGAGGAACAAAACGTCCATTCGGTTTATGGTGAGTTAAGTTTGACGTGTGTAGGGAAATTGCAAATAGTGATACCAGACTGAATTAACATTATTGCAGCATGCCAAACAAAACTATATGATCTCATAGTGCAGAGATTTCCAAACGTTTTATAATAAAGGGACTGTCCCACAACCACCATTTACAATCAAACTTTGTCACTTTTGAATGCAAACACTTGCCTGGTGTTCCTGTGGCAATATAAGACACATAGTTGTATCTACCGCTTTTAAACTGCAGTAAAATACCTCTTAGCATTAGCGTCTTTTTTTTGCAATTCACAAAAAAACACTACTAAAATACCACATGTCCTATTTTAAGAAATTATATGGTAGTTTAGTAGTGAAAGCAAGCAGTATTTTATCGCCGACTTCAGCTCTGTCATTAACAACCAGTAAACAACATGGTTGTTAAGGGAAGGGCAGACATTAGCCTTAACAACCAGTAAACATCAAATACTTATTTGTGGTCAGTGGAATCCCCACTGACAGCAGAATGTAAACAAAAGAACCCAACCAAAAAAAAACCAACCTGCATCGGCACTTGGCTCCTGCCGAATGACAGCTCTGCCACGAAATAAACTAAGGGGCGGGATCAACCAGTGAGATCATAAGGTGCCCCCACCCCTTTATTTAGCGGTGGGAGGTGGTGGAGCTGTCACAGAGAGCCAAGCTTGGTGCGGGTCGGGTGGCCAGCATTCATCATGATTGACATTGGATCTACTTCAGGGGACATTTTTTTTTTTTTTTCGAGGGGTTGAATAAAAACTGGCTGTGTGTTTTTATTTACATTGCACTTCTTTTTTTGGTGAATGAGTAGGGGTACTCTGTACCTCTACTTATTCACATGGGCAGTTCAGGAACTGGGGGTTCCCTTTATGACACAGAGAATAGCTCAGGAGATCATGTCAGCCCTTCTCTGGAGATCTGTGTTCTCCCTCCAGATTCTCCAGCCCAGAGCTGGAGAATCAGAGGGACCGAAAACTAAGCAGAGATAATTTACCTCTGCTTAGTAAACTAATCTTTTACTGTAATCTGGCGAGATTATAGTAAAATGAGCCGTTTTCCAGAGTTTGTAGACCGTTCTCCAGCGTTTGGAGACTGTTCTCCAGCGTTTGGAGAACCGCTTCATAAACTGCATTCACAGGAGAACTGTGTTCTCCGAGAATGCCAGAGAACTGAGCAGCGATCTATTACCGCTGGTTCATGAACGGACACCTTAGTGAATTGAACCCATAGGGTGTATAATACGTTATAAAGGAGCTTCGTTTTTCTTGAAGGCTTTTTATTAAATGAAACCTAAAGAGCTAAATATTCCCTCTGTCTCATTTGCTCTAAATTTCAGACAGAAAAATGAGCACAGCATGATATCACTGTATAATTTCACACTGTGTACTAAGTGTTAAGACTGAATTGTCTCTCCCACAGATAACATTCATTAAGAATAAAACCACATTATCCCTATGAGTGGAAAATATAACTTGATAATTAGTTTGCAACTGCCTGAAGCTGCTTATTAATTCAGCAGCCACTCTACTAATGAAATTCACACTGGGAAAAATCAATCTCATCAATTTACACTGTCCTTTGTAACTTCCAAGCAGAAATGAATCCCTATTTATTTTTCAATAACATATATAAAAAGACATAGCCTGGTATAGTCACCAAGTATGTTTGTAAAAGTAAGATTCTATACATGTACATAAAGGAGTCTAATCATTTGTGCAAATGCAAGGACTAATACGCTGAGTGTTCTTGTGTGTGTAAGAAAAATAGCCATAAGAATGTTTGACCATAAGAGGTAAAGAACTGTAGCACTACCTCCTTAGTGGTTTCTGAAGATTTGGGTCCCCCTATAGTCCTGCACAGCCAGGCAACACACATTTTCACATCCACTTGCATTCAGGAGTCAGTGACCAGTCATTGAGCTTGTTTTGAAGTTTTATTAGGGAATGCAGAACTTAGATGGGGTTATGGATGTACGGGATGCCCAATGGAACCGCGAAACCGAGGACAACTTCCTGAACTTTGTAGAAGTGGTTACAGAAAACAGACTTTTTGGAGAACTAGCCAGCATTTCCTGCAGTACCACCCCAGACTCCAGATGCTCCTTTATCTGGCTGCCTGGGGGAATCCCTGGACAGGGGATCCGGTGTCTGTCACCTAAAATGGTGAAACAGTCCTGGGTGGCAAGCTAAATCAGTTTCCAGCTAGAGTGCCTCCTCCTTCTCCTTTCTGGCCTAGGGGGTGCAGGTCTACTCACTTAGTCCCTCTCCTCTGTTGCTGGTGAGTCAGTGGCTATTACCAGGGCTTCTAGCTGGGCTGCTCCTTCCCTTCCACACAGATGGTCCTCTCTCAGGGGGCCAGTGAAGTTCCAAGATTTCAGCCTTCCCAGGTCCTTCTGCCTGTCTGTGAGCCCCTTTCCATCTGGGTCCCCTCCCAGGCTCCTGCCCTTTAGCCTCTCATCCTAATCTTCCACCCGGACTGTCCTCCAACTCTGCTGGTACTGAGCAGGCTCAGTTACTGTTAAAGGCTGCCCTGGCCTCTTCCCAAGCCTCTTGTTAGGGATTGGCCAGGATCCTCTAAGAGCACAGACCGGCCACTCCTCAGATCCGCCCACTTCTTCCAGCTCTTTCTCCCAAGCTCAAGAGCAGGGGAAAATTCCAGAGGGCTGGAGTCTAGCTCCCCCTAGCTGACTAGGAGGATGCTATAGAACATTGACCAATAGGAACAATAGCCTAACACTAAAGGCTGAAAACATTCAACCAGCAGGGAAAATAATATAAGGGAGACCTCAGCACTGTGTACAGTCTATGGAGATTCCTTTGCAAGCGACTGTACAAATTGGCAAGACTTTGTTTATTTTTAAATTCCATGCTTGAGCTGATTGCTTGGGTTTGTAAAGAGATTTCTGCAACTTCCACACAAGATACTCTTCTCCATTTTCCACATTTCCTTCTGGTTGTGTCATATAGATTTCCTCTTTGATATTACCATTAAGGGCTCGTTCACACTAGGCTGTTTTGCCAACGCTTGCCAAACGCCCCTATAGCGTTTGGCAAGCGTTGGTCCGGTGTTTGCGGAGCGTTTTTAACGCTCGGCAAACGCTCCGCAAACGCCGCATGCGCGGTTTAGCGGCGGTTGCTAGGCGTTTGCCGAGCGTTAATAACGCCCCACAAATGCCTATAATGCATTTGAGTGGTGTTACCGCTCCGCAAACACCCCGCAACCGCGTCGCAACCGCACCGCAAACGCCGGCCGGGCGTTTGCGGAGCGGCACCATAGACGAGAATAGGAGGCTTCAAAGCCTCCTGACTCGACCAGAGGCGTCCGTTTTGCCGCGACGCAACGCGACGCGACGCAAACGCTCCTGTTAGAACAGCACCATGTGCTGTAATGTGCAGAATTGGCAGAAGCGTTTGGGAAGCGGTAAAAACGCTTCCCAAACGCCTCTCTGCCGCCTGCACACAAGGCTAGTGTGAACGTAGCCTAAGAAAGGCTGTTATGATATCATGGTGCTTCACAATCATTTTCTGAGAAGCAGCCACTGTTAACAGTGTTCTGGAAGTACTTTGCCACTAACCATGCTTTATACACACAGACCTTGCCTCCAGAGTTGCATTTGGCCTTAAAAACCCATTTGCATCTGATTGCACGCTTACCGTGGGGTGGCTTTGAAAGTGTCCCTTTCTGCAGTTCACTAAGATATGTCATCTCTTCATCAGCAGCTCTGATCCACTTTTGTTTATCATGGGTTGTAAGTCTTTCTATCTCATCCCATGAATCTGGCTTAGGTTGTAATGCTATGCAAGCAACATAGGACAGACATTTGGCTGGGATACCTTTATTGCATTGGTGGATTTCCTGATTGAAGCCTCTTGTGGCCTGGATTCTTCTTTTACAGTATTAGGATTGTCTGTGTTAATTTCTATTTCTGCGTCACTTTGTTGCTTATATTTATGTGACACTAATGTGGAATTTCCCTCAATTTGCAGCGTTTGTGTTAGTTCCTGAAATTTTGAACACATTGAAATTTCATTGACAAATACACTTCTACTGATGGTTGCATTGTTTGTGTCTTGGTGTAGAATTCTGTATCCCTTTTGAGATTCACTGTACCCCACAAGTACACCTTCCTTTGCACAAGCTTCCCATTTTCTAAGTTTTTTTTTATTTTGGGATGTACAAATTGGCTTTGCTTACAAATTTTTTTTAGATGATTCAAATTTAAGGTTATTCCATTCCACAGTTCATATGGAGTTTCCTCAGTTGATTTTCCTGGTTTTCGAGTTTGGAGATAGCATGCAGTCATAATTGCCTCCCCCCAAGTATGTGGTTGGCATATTTGCATTAAACAGCATGGTTCTTCCACTCTCACATAGAGTACGGTTCATTCTTTCTGCAACCCTTGCTTTGTTCAAGGTTGTATGGTACAGTAAATTTAAATATTATGCCATGCTTTCTGAGAATAGCCTGTGTGTTATCACCTGTATATTCAGTTCCATTGTCTGTGTCCATTCCATTGTCAGCATTTTGCCAAATGTGTTGCATACTTACCAAATACTGTTCAAGTACTTCACTTTTTGTGTAACAGATATAGTGCAGTATACCTGGACTAATCATCTATAAAAGTGAAAAAATACCTCTTTTCCTGGAGTAAATTGTTCCACTGGATCGCAAAGAGCTGAAAGAATTAAGTGCAGAGGTTTCTTAGCTCTGCTTTTACTCTGCTTTGGAAAGGCTTTTCTTGTAATTTTTCCTTTTATACAGCTGGTTTATTTTATTGTTTCATTACATGGGCTAATTCTATTCCACTTGCACAGTCACTCTCCATTAATTTCTTTATTATGTCAGGACTTCTGTGCCCAAGTCATCTCTGTGCCATGAGTGAATGCAGTTTGAATGTTTTTCCTCCATGGCAGTGTTAACCACATCATTGCAATTCAGCTGATACAGTTCATCTGTAATTTTATCCTTTGCAATTAAGATATCCCCTTTTGTGATGGCTCAACTGTCATCTTGGAAGGCCACTACATTGTGAGCATCTTCATTGACAAAAGATTATTATCAAGAGGGGGACATACAGGGCATTTTTCACAGGTATCTTTTTGGTGACACTAGGACAGTAAAGAAAACCATCTCCTATTCCTTCCGATTCCATTATTTCCCATTAACTGTGGTGATTTTTTTCTGTTTTACTCTGGTCAAGGTGAATAAAAAAATGTTGTTATTTGTCATGTGACTCGTGGCTAATGAATCAACAAACCATGGTGCGACTCTTGGATTGAAAGACATATTCATTATCTGAAGAAACTTTTGATCTTCACACTTTTGACCTTTTTGTAGCTTAGTTTGTTTTTGCATTCTAGCTTTCCAGATTCTGAAATTTGCTTTTAAATGACCTTGTTTCTTGCACACAAAACATTCACGTGTTTACTTTTGTATGTTATTGTTTTTATTCCTATTTTTCATCTTTAAACCAGGCTCTGCGATGGAAGCATTGTAACTTTTAATGCTTTCTGTTTTATGTTTATATTCATCCATAAGCTTACCCTTAACTTATTCTAATGCCAGTTCATCATCTGGACGTGCCTCAAGTGCTTTGACAAGTATTTCATAACTTTCTGGTAAACCACTAAGTAATAGTGCTGCGATATGAAAATCTTTTATTTCTTCTCTTATACCTCTCAGGCGTTCAACCATTTCCAGGGGGTACCTTATGTAATTCTGAATTTCCTGGCCTTTCATCAGCTTGATTTGGTATAGCTTTCTATTCAAATACAGGTCATTGCTGAGATTAGCTCTTTCATTTACCTTTTGTACTCCTCCCCACATTTCTTTAGCAGTTTCAGACTTAAATATTTGTATGATTTGACCATCTTCTATGCGAAGAGAGACTGTGCACTGAGTTTTCTGATCTTTCTATATCCAACCTTCTGAAGGGTGTTCTGGCCTGACTTTATTCATACATTTCCATGTATCTTCTCTTATTAGCAGCATTTGCATCTTGAATTTCTAAGATTGATAGTTCTGGTTTGTCAGATTTGCAAATGAAAATTTTGTTGCTGTGCCACTGGCCATTTTTTTTTATTCTGCAGCAGACTTCTTTCTGTTGCTGTATCTTGCACTTCTTTTTTCTGTAGCTGACTATGTATGGGTGTCTGGACCCATAACCTGTTAGAGATTCTGTATATAACCCTATAGAACAGACAGTGCACATGTGTTTATCTGCTGCTTCTCTTTAAACAGGAACTTTATTATAGAGAAAAGACATAGTTTAACTATAGATGCGGATACAAACTTTTTAACACTGCCATTTACTCGTTGAAGAATATATCTCTACTTTATTCTGATTGTTGGTGCACAAAATTCATGAACAACATATTCCAACAGTACTCATTCACATGGGAAGTCCCTATATGAGGGCCCCCTTACTGTTAAAGGGGGCTTTCAGATACCGATATATCTTCCGCTCACGGACCCGCACAATAACTGGTTCAGGGTTGTGGGGAAGAGATTCTTGTCTTCATCAAAATGTCGCCGAGAACATGCTTGCCCACCTCCACTTCCTTTCCTGACAAGCCAGGCTGCATGATCAGATATGGGTCTGGTATGGAATTTGGGGGGGAGGGAGTGTCCCCATTGGAAGATTCCTTTCTATTTTTGTGACATTTCAAAATTTTAGACCAATAACAGTGGTCACAAGGAAAATAAATATCTAATCTCCCTAACAGAGATACGGACAACAATGAAGAAAGAAAAGCTTTTGCTTTTATATGATTTAAACTGTGATCCACACAAAAATGTTTTTGTTCTCACTGGACTCCCAGCAGTTTCAGGTGTCTGGTAGTTCAAGAGAACCTTTGAGGAACCTGCTGGGAGATGTAAACCCTCTCCCCTGTTCACACATACACACTATTCTCTAAATTCCAGGTTTATTTGTTGCAAACAGCATAATTTTCATCCACTACTGAACAATGCTGTCTTTCAGCTGGATTTGTTTTATTTTCCTTAAGAGAATATGAAGTTGTGTTAAATCAATCCTGTTATAAAAACAGATGTTAAAAATACAATTGAGGGAAAAGGGTTCAGATCACAAAAGGGATGGCTGAGGGTAATAACTCAGTGTTGGGTTCCCAAAAAATATGATCACTTTTGGGCACACACCAGCCTGTGTTGTGGTAACCCATGAGACGCATCATGCTTTATCATGCATCTAGGCCCTCTGTGCTACCACAGCTCATTCATTTTGAATGATCCCCCAATACAAATTGTTCCTAGCACAGGTGCATTGGGGTGCCATTTAAAATAAATGGCACAACTAATTGCACCATGCTTGGTGTGCTACTGTGCATTGTGGTAATGTAAGTGTTTTATTGCGATCAGGCCGTTACAGAAGTGAAACTTTGAAACCGTAGAGTAGGGTCATGAACTTGTAGTTGCAGAGGAAAAATAAAAATTTGCCTTAACACTGCAGTTTACAACATTGTTATGATTCTCTGAGAAGCAAACTACGGGGTTTTACTATATCAACAGAACTATGGTAACTATCCACCATTAAAAGATTCTATACATGCATTATGTTTACCAATACACTAAAATTCAGTTTTGTCAAATCACAGGGTCGTGTGCGTACCTCCTGTGTGGAAATGCCGTATGTTCCTGTCTCATTTTCTGGCATTAATAACTACCTAATGGTGCCAGGGGTTCCTGCCAACATTAAGATGATGGTAAGCTTTAAATTCCGGACCTGGGACACCATTGGCCTTTTGCTCTTCACCAATTTTGCTGGTTCCTTGGGATCACTGGAAATGGCATTGAGCGAGGGTCAAATCAACGTGACCATCTCTCAACCACACAAGAAGAAGCTGGTGTTTGCAGCTGGTGAGTGGGGGATTCTCACACAATGCATGGCAGACTGCTTGTTGGCTATTGAAGAATTAATTTGTTCAATGGGCATGTCTAGGCTTCATCATAATTTACTGTTAGCTTACTCCATGTTTAAAGTGTTACTAAACCCACAACAGTAAAATCAATTTGCACACGCAGTAAAGCATGCTTGTTATACTCACTGTGGAACTTCAGGGGCAATGCTCTGCATTGTGTAAAAATGATGTTTGATCCTCTCTTCTTTGAACCTTCCCTTCTTTCATTTCCACTCCTGATAGAACACAGCCTGGGAGACACTCTGTATCTGCACAGTTTGGTGTGTACTGCTGGAGAATTATTTATTTTTCTTGAAAGAGTGCATGTAATCAGCACAGGGCCAACCAGCACTGTTCAGACAGAGGGACGGGTTATGCAATCTCACAGGGCAGTCAGAGTAGAATGAAAACTCCTCCTACAAGCTTTAACATGTGCTCCGCTGGACACTGATAGAAGTCACAAGACTGCTCTAACTGCTGATGAGAAAAGGTATTTAGCCGTTTAAATGTACTAAATTGAATATATTTCCATGTTCTGTGTACTGTGGGAGACCAGAAATAGTGAATGCAGGGTCCTGGGTTTATTAACACTTTATATCATGTTTGACTGTTTAGAATTCAAATGTACTACTTACTAGGAATTTAGCACTATTGGTAGTTAGGGCTAAGCATAGAAAAATTAAACATGCCAACTCCAGATATTCACTTTAAATTGTGTGCAAAATATATTTGTTCTTGGCATCTAGAGATAGCCAGGACATGAGAAACAATCTTGATCATAAACTCAATAACCCAAATAATGCCCTGAGGAGGCCCCAGAACCACCCTAACCAAAAAGCCTCACCATACTTTTATTCAAATTATGCTGGTTTTGTGCTATCTAGTGTTTACCAAGGTATGGTATAGTGTGTACATTTCTGTATAATTCTCATGGTCAGCTAAATCCCTGTAGATTTAGCAAGAAATATTGCTTGTGAATATTAAAGTACAGGAGACTGAAAAATCTACCTACTGCGTAGCACCTGATTAAGCATCATTCCTTACAATTGGTAGTGAAAGAGTCTTTAGCATCTAATGGCCTATTGTAGACCGTACAGGCTAATTCTCAGGCCTTTTAATTTCTCTGATTAGTACTGGGCCATTCCACATTGAGATGTCCTTCATTGTTGAGGAGGGTAGTTAAAATATATAATTGTTTGGTAGAATTCATGACACTATATTTTATTTACCTTTAGACACTCTGGACTTTATCCATTAGTTGATTGTAATGAACATTATATTGCCAAAAATATTGGGACACCTGCCTTTTACACACACATGAACTTTAATGGCATCCCAGTCTTAGTCCATAGGGTTCAATACTGAGTTGGCTCACCCTTTGCAGCTATAACAGCTTCAGCTCTTTCCTTCTGGGAAGGCTGTCCACAAGGTTTAGGAGTGTGTCAAAGGGAATGTTTGACCATTCTTCCAGAAGCGCATTTGTGAGGTCAGGCACGAATGTCAGACTATAAGGCCTGGCTCGCAGTCTCCACACTAATTCATCCCAAAGGTGTTCTGTCAGGTTGAGGTCAGGACTCTGTGCAGGCCAGTCAAATTTCTCTACCCCAAACTCACTCATCCATGTCTTTATGGACCTTGTTTTTTTGCACTGGTGCGCAGTCACGTTGGAACAGGAAGGGACCAAAATGGGAGCATGAAATTGTCCAAAAATGTCTTCGTATGATGACGCCTTAAGAGTTCCCTTCACTGGAACTAAGGAGCCAAGCCCAATCCCTGAAAAACACCATAATCCCCCCCCTCCACCAAGCTTTGCACTTGGCACAATGCAGTCAGGCAAGTACCATTCATCTGGCAACTGCCAAACCCAGACACGTCCATTGGATTGCCAGACAGAGAAGTGTGATTTGTCATTCCAGAGAACACATCTCCAATGCTCTAGAGTCCAGTGGTGGTGTGCTTTACACCACTGCATCCGATGCTTTGCATTGCACTTGGTGATGAAAGGCTTGGATGCAGCTGCCATGGAAACCCATTCCATGAAGCTCTCTAAGCACTGTTGTTGTGCTAATCTGAAGGCCACATGAAGTTTGGAGGTCTTTATTGATTCAGCAGACAGTTGGCGACTTCTAGCAAGAGCACCTTCAGCATACACTGACCCCACTCTGTCATTTTACGTGGCCTACCACTTCGTAGCTGAGTTGCTGTTGTTCCCAGTTGTTTCTACTTTGTTCCAATACCAGTAACAGTTGACAGTGGAATATTTAGTAGCAAAGAAATTTCACGGATGGACTTATTTGTCAGGTGGCAACCTATCACGGTACCACACCACACTTGAACTCACTGAGCTCCTGAGAGCGCCCCATTCTTTCACAAATGTTTGTAGAAGCAGTCTGCATGCCTAGGTGCTTGATTTTATACACCTGTGGCCATGGAGGTGTTTGGCACACCTGAATCCAATGATTTGGAGGGGTGTCTCAATACTTTTGGCAATATAGTGTATATTTAAATAAAAAAAATGTGTTCTAGAAATCAAAGAAATAATGCTTATATAATTGTATTGAATTAGACTAGGCCGCCAAAGTACTTCTGCTCCATTGTGGATAGATGATAGCATTACTGTATATAGTAAAAGGTCTATATCTAACCCAAGTCAAGTAATGCAGCCAAAGGGCTCTCCTCTCATAAGACCTGCTCCCATGGGGCTTCTCTAACTGCCACATTGTTCTGCATGCTTTGTTTCTATAGCAAGTTCACTACTCTTTGAAGCTTTGTTAATGTGCCTAAGTACACAGCTTATCGGGATTTTGGCTTATGACACAGGCTGTTGGTGGATGCGGTTCACAGTAAGGGAAGCAGTTATACAGCAGATAGGTTGCTTGAATCATTGCACAGGTCAGTAGTTTTAGATTGTAAGCTCTAACGAACAGTGCCCTCTGATTCCTCCTGTATTGAATTATATTGTAATTGTACTGTCTGCCCTTATGTTGTAAAGCGCTGCACAAACAGTTGGCACTATATAAATCCTTTATAATAGTTCAATTATGATTCAAAGTGAAGGATAATCTCCGGTTCTCTTTCCACAGGATATCGGCTGAACGATGGCTTCTGGCACTCAGTCTCCCTGATAGCCAGAGAAAACTCTGCTGTGGTGGTGATTGACGATGATGAAGGAGCACAATTCAAAATTAATTATCTGTTCCAGCTTCGAACAGGAGATTCATACTACTTTGGAGGTAGAAAGGTTACAATACTAAGTTTAGTCTCTATCACAAGTTGAACCAAGCTTATTAAAGTGCATCTAAACCCAAAACAGAAATGTAATATATTGCAGCTTACCAGTCCTTAGATGTGGTGGTGGCTTTAGTTTTTTTGGTTAGTTAGTTTTCCATTGTATCTATGGGGGCATGTCTACCCTTTATTCATCTCCATTAAATGGTGGGACTAGTAGTTTACACAAGAAAGATAAGAATGTTTTGTGCTTTCTTTTCAGTTCACATGAAGTGACTAGTATACTGTATTTCTGGCAAGATCGACGGGTATTTTCTGTACTTGCTAAAAATTAGCATAGCCTGGAAAATTAAAAGTAATGCAGTCACAACATCTAAGAACTGACAAGCTGAAATATTTTATATTTTTGTTTTAGGGTTTATATACAGTACACTTTAAATTTAACATAAAACCTAGCTCCTAAACTTAATTCTGACCCCTTAACTGCAATAAAATATACATAATAAAAGCTGTATTAACATGCCAACAATCATTAATTATTTAGTAAAATTCCAGTGCCACAGTTCAATGTGCCCTATTCTCCACACTCAAAATTCCGTGCCCAAACTGTGACAGCAAAGAGTACTGATCCAACTGGTTTACCAGAGAAATTCAGCTATGCACATACTGGTTTGCCAATAATTTGTCATTACCTTAGGTACTAGTAAGTAATACATAAAGTCATGGCCAAAAATAATGGCACCCCTGCATTTCTGTCAGATAATGCACCACTTCCCCCAGAAAATTGTTGCAATTACAAATGTTTAGGCATTCTCATGTTTATTTCTTTTGTTTGTATTGGTATGACTCAAAAAAGTGTAGAATCAAAAAGCCAAATCTCACACATTCCATGCAAAACCCCCAAAATGGATTGGACAAAACTTTTGGTGCCTTCTCAAAATTGTAAGAAATAATTTCATTCAAAGTTTGTGATACTCAGACAGACCGGCAACCAATTAAAATGGTGAACACTTGACTGTGCTGTGTGTCTCTGTGTGCCATATGGAAGAACTGTCTGAGGATTTGAGAACAAAAATTGTTGATAACCATGGACAATCTCAAGGTTACAAGTCCATCTACAGAGATCCTAATATTCCTGTGTCAACTGTGCTCAATATTATCAAGAAGTTTACAGCCTATGGCACTGTAGCTAATCTCCCTGGATGTGACCGAAAGAGAAAAATTGAACAAAGATTGCAGCGAAGGATTGTTTGAATGCTGGATAAAGAACCTTGATCAACTTCTAGACAAATTCAAGCTGACCTTCAGGCACAGGGTACAGCTGTGTCAGTTTGCACTATACCTTACCTTCTGAATGAAAAGGGACACTATGGTAGGAGACCCAGGAGGACCTCACTGCTGACACAGAAACTTAAAAAAAAACAGATTGGAGTTTGCCCAAACTTACTAGAGGAAGCCAAAATCCTTTTGGGAGAATGTGCTGTGGACAGATAAAACAAAATTACAGCTTTTTGGTAAAGCCCATTATTCTACTGTTTTCAGAAAAAGGAATGAGGCCTTTAAAGAAAAGAATACAGTCTCTACAGTCAAACATGGTGAAGTTTCATTGATGTTCTGTGGTTACTTTTCTGCTTCAGGCACTGGATGTCTTAACTGTGTACATGACATTATGAAATCTGAACACTACCCATGAATTCTGGGGTGCAATGTAGGGCCCAGTGTCAGAAAGTTGGGTCTCCGCCAGAGCTCATGGGTCATACGGCAGGACATATGGCCCAAAGCACACGTCAAAAAACACACAGAAATGGTTTCAGACAAAGCGCTGGAGAGGACTAAACTGGCTAGCAATGAGTCCAGATCTCAATCCCATACAACACCTGAGGAGAGATCTCAGAACAGCAGTTGGGAAAAGGAACCCTTCCAATCTGAGAAACCTGGAGCAGTTGGCGAAAGAAGAGTGGTCCAAAATTCCAGTAGAGAGGTGTAAGAAGCTCATTGATGACTAAAGGAAGCCATTGATTTCAGTTATTTTTTCAAGGGGTGTGCTACCAAATATTACATTGAGGGTGCCAATAATTTTGTCCAGTCCATTTTTGTGGTTTTGCGTGGAATGTGTCAGATTTGGCTTTTAATTTGTGCACTTTTTTGTGTCATACCAATACAAACAAAAGAAGTAAACATGAGAATGCCTAAACATTTGGTTCATTATCTGACAGAAATGTAGGGGTGCCAATATTTTTGGCCATGACTATATGTTATTTTTGGGGACAGTAAAATTTGATATTAGGTAAAAAAAAATAAAATTATATATATATATATATATATATATATATATATATACACACACACACACTGTATATTCCAAGTTTTTGAAGCAGGTATACAAAGAATATTGCAGTTGTGCTTTTAAATATCTTTCCAGCTTAAAGCATAGTAGAATAATTTAATATGATGCAAAGGTATTTTTGTATTTCATGTATTTTTAAATACACAAAATAGTGAAATAAATAAAGATTTAAAAAATGTTTGTGGTAATGGTTAAAAAAAAATGCTGAGATCCAGGCCTCCCCTGCGGTTGCCCTTTTTGTTGATGATTGCTGGGTACAGATCAAAGATCAAAAAGGGTATCCTGAGGAAATGTCTGTTAGCGGCCTGGATTGTCAATTCCCACCACTGGAAATCTACTTCTCCTCACCTTTCGGAATGGACCCAGATACTCAACGACATTATGGCAATGGACAATATAAACAAGGGTAGAGCGCAAATTGTTGTATCCTTAAAACAATGTCAAAACAAGTGATAGATATATCATAAGAGTCCCAAATGTACATGGAGAAAGTCCTTTAATGTCAATCCACTAATGGCAGGCTTTCCATAGAGGAGAAGCTGACTCTGGTAGCGCAAACAGAAAGGGACAGAAAAAAGCGCCTCTAAGTGTAGACTTAAAAAGATTTTTATTATGAATAAAGTAGGTAACTCACACAAGTTAAAAATGTGTATGTGGCTCATCAATGTAGTGCACCGGAGAAACTGTTGCCAGTATTATCGGAAGAGAAATGTCATATCAGTCGAGGCACACTGTTTGAGCTAAGCCAAGCTTGAGAAAGGAGCACGGCTGATCTATTTCACAGACAGTGCACGCTTGGAAATGCATTGCACACACACCTCCAGGGACGTCAGCACACCCTGTGCTGTGGTCCATGAGCATTTCAGTCCTCACCCTGGATGTAAGATATGGCTCTGAGGAAGAGGCAAGTCCTCGAAACGCGTCAGCCTTTTGGATGTCTAAACTCCCTATTGCGGACTGTTACTCAGCGCGGTGTTGATCCAGCTGTTCTTTTATGATGTGCCTTGACTATATTGTCGTTTGTGAGTACAACACCTACTTTATTTTTTATTAAACATTTTTTATGGTAATGCACTAGGCCTGTGCGCCCTCTTTTGTTCTTTCCCCATTCAGTATATTTGGATTCCCCCGGTCCATTTGAGGGCAGCAAGGTGTGCATGTTCCAGGACATTCTTAATGTGGTTGTAGCATCGAGTCCATCCCCAAGCGCAGGAGCATTTGTGTTTGCTGATTCTTTGTAAGATATCTACCTGTTGGTTTTCTGGATCCCTGTCAGGCACCGCCCGGCAGGATCTCTAGTGACCCACAGAACAGGATTCCCCAGGGCGCGGAGTCTAAGCCCCAGTCTGCCTTTTCACCAGAGCCCCTGATGGTGGGGATGGACTTGGTGCGAGACTGAAACCAGGTCGCAACCCCTGAGTGCACCCAACTGTGGTAGAGGGGTCCCACCGATGGTACGTGCCGGGGGGGTGAACCTGCTGTGAAGAGGCTGACAAGTCCAGGTCCCGAGCGGGATGGATGGATGACAGTCAGGAATGAGCGTAGTCAGGCTAGCCAGGTCGGTAACGGTGGAGGCAGGTAGGTACCAAACAGTAGACAGAGAGCAGCCGGGTCACGAGCCAAGGTTCAGCAACGGGAGGTCCAATAGTAATATACAGCAGGCAGGAGAGTAGTCAGGGACGAACCGGGGGTCAGAGCAGGAGAAGGTCAACACAAATCAGGAGAAGCAGGATCGGCAACAGGAACACACTTCAGATCACGGGTACAGGAACTAGACCTTGCGGCAACCTAGTCACCATCTGGCCAGTTTAAATAGCGCGCCCTGCACAGTCATTGGTGCAATTGCCAACGCCGACGCACAGGTCCTGGTGCCTGCACATTAGTGCACCTAGGCAATCTGTGTATGTGCAGACCTGTGCGCCGCTGTGAGACCCGCAGTCCCTGACAATCCCAGAGAGCAGTGTGCCTGGACTGATGTGGTGTTTCTCTTTCGATAACATTGGTGAGAGTTCCACCGGTGGATTATTTTGATGAGCCTACACATTTTTAACCCTTGTGAGTTGCCTGCTTTATTCATATTAAATATAACTTTATGTCTACACTAAGAGGCGCTTTTTTTCTGTCCCTTTCTGTTCATCATGGAAATGGAAACTATGGTGACAGAAGACAATCCTGATACTGAAAATGTTCATACCACATGGTCCTGTTGTGATTTAACCGCTTTTCAAGTCCTAATCTCACAGTAATTTACTCACTCTCTCACATCTATGGTCTCTTCAGGCATTTTTGGAACCACTGAATCCAACACCCTAATCCCTCCTCTGTCCTTCTTCCTTTCCCTGTTGCCTTAGACATGTTATAGGTTTACTATTTTGATCTTTCTGGCAATACAAAGTCGGCTACATACCTGTTACAATGTACCGTGTACATGTTTCCATTTTTTGCACAATTTTATTGTCACTTTTTATGTATCACAGGTATGTGTATGGTACATTTCTGGCTACTGCTAATGACATGAAATTTTCATCACATGTCAGTAACAACCCATGCAATCCATACATACAAGGAAACCAAAACAAATAAGTTCAGAAATTAAGTTATGTGTAATAAAATGGAATGACACTGGGAAAAAGTATTGAACACACTAAGTGAAATTTATTTAATACTTTGTACAAAATCCTTTGCTGGTAATGACAGCTTCAAGATGCCTCCTATATGTAGAAACTAGTTGCATGCATTGCTCAGGTGTGATTTTGGTCCATTCAGCCACACAAACAGTCTTCAAATCTTGAAGGATCCATGGGCCTCTTCTATGAACTCTGATATTTAGTTCTTTCCATAGATTTTCTGTTGGATTCAAGTCAGGTGATTGGCTGGGCCATTCTAGCAGCTTTATTTTCTTTCTTTGAAACCAACTGAGAGTTTCCTTGGCTTTGTGTTGGGGATCATTGTCTTGCTGAAATCTTCATCATCCTGGTAGATGGCAGCAGATTTTTATCAAGAATGTCTTGTTACATTTTTCCATTCATCCTTTTTTCAATGATATGAACTTTGCCAGTACCGTATGCTGAAAAACAACTCCACACCATGATGTTCCAATAACATACAAGATTCAAGCACTGAACACCAGTATTGGGGGGGGGGGGGGGGGGTGGCACTTGAACACAGCTGCTAGAGTCATACTGTAAAAAGTGATAATGGAATGCCAGAAAACCAGCGCTAGTGTGACCGTGGCTTGGAATGATGATGAATTGTAACCATAATTCAATTCCATAAAGGGTATACTTAATGATAACCCTAGTTCAATTCCATAAAAGGTATGCTTTATAAAGTGCAAATTGGGTACAATGTAACCAGAATAGTTCCGGATGCAGTGGTGTTGGCCAGGCACGTCTGGAAGAATATCTACTTGCCTGCGTCCCCAGGCCGGGAGTGGTGTGGTCTCAGATGGCTAACCCAGCCAGGGACCACGGCACACGAAGGGATGTCACACCACGAGAGGGGAAGCGGAAGTCAGGCACTGGACGTGGACCGCTGGAGCTGGTAACCAGGACAACGCGTTCCGTCAAGTCTAAGGATATGGAGGTTGCCAGCTTTATTTTACATAGGAAAAAAGAGACATGCGTTCCTGGCGTCACTGATGGGGAGGAGCTAAAGTGGACATTCCCCCCGCACCGTGCTGAGCCACTTGTAACAGGCAATATTATTAACATTTTAAAAAGAAACAATTGCATATTAATTACATGGTAAATGTAATTAAAGCATATTAAAGTTACTGCATAATACAACAAAAAGTAGATAAAAAGAATACAAAAATTAACAAACTGTTCTGTTCGTCATCAGCATAATGCCATAATCAACCATAAGGATACATATGAAAATGTTATTAAATACAATCAAAAATAAAATCAATAGCTACTAAATGAATTGATATAGCATTAAAATTACTGACATGGATCAAATAATACTATGAATTTCTAAATCTTCGTTTAAACCATTGGGGGACATTGAGCCTAATTTAAATATCCAGAATGTCTCTCTTTTACATAAGAGAGAAAATCTTTTATCTGTCAGAGATCTTTTTTCAATGTGCTCAATTGCCATATTTTCAAGGCAACCAAAGTTCTTGCTGTGGGCTTGAAGGAAGTGTCGGGGAACACTATGCTTATCGCTACCATCCTTGATAACCATGCAGTGTTCTCCCACACGCTTCCGCAAGGGACGTGTTTTACGACCCACAAACAGTAGTTTACATGGACATGAAAGTACATATATCATAAAGTCCGTTGCACAAGTTATAAACTGTTTGATATGAAAGAGATTGCCCTTGTTGTTTGCTATCTCAGAACGACCGTGTGTAATAACCTGACAAGTTAGGCAACCTCTCTTCCTGCACTCAAAAATGCCGGTCCTACTATCAAAATAGGATTGAATGTTCATGTCACTTTTTGTCTTTCTAGTTAGTTTGCTGGGGGCTAAAATATTCTTTAGTGTACATGCCCTTCTGAAGGTGATCTGGGGAACTGGGGGTAAAGTGGGGGCCAATTTGGGATCTAACTGGAGGATGTTCCAGTGTTTGCAAATGATCTTAGAGATGTTACGATATGCCTTATTATATCCAGTGATAAATCTTACTGTATTCTGGTTCTGATTGGTGTTGGGTCTTTTATTATTTGCCTGGGGATTATGATGTTTGACAAAAGTTTCCTTAATTATGGATGGAGGGTACCCCTTTTCTATGAATTTAGATAAAATATCCACTTGTTCTTTATATGTCTCCATTTTGGAACAATTTCTCCTTAGTCTATTCAATTGTCCACTGGGAATGTTGTTTTTTTTTCCAGGCTGGATGATGACACATTGAATAATGAAGATAAGAGTTACCTCCAGTAGGTTTGATGTAATTGCTAGTGCAAATAGCCTTATCTTCATGAAACAATGAAAGATCCAGGAATACAATGGACTGTGGATCAAAAACATGAGACATATAAAGAACAAGGGGAGTTTTTAGCATTACTGTTTCCTTGTGTCATTCCATTTTATTACACATAATTTATGAACTTACTTGTTTTGGTTTCTTTGTATAAATGGATTGTATGGGTTGTTACCGACATGTGGTGAAAATTTCATGTCAATAACACCTTCAGAAATATGTATACTGAGAAAAATGGTGACACATTCAATACTTATTTACTATATTTATGATGCCTGCAGCTGCGTACAGTATATGTATGTTAGCAGGTCTTTAAGTGGTTAAGGACAGCCAAACTCAGGTAGTGTGTGATAGCAGTGGAGCCAGAAGAAGAACAGGAAGGCTATCTGTTGTCTCTGAAGCAGAGAGACTATGTAGACAGCTAGAGTAAGGGTTGACATGTGCACCTTGACATGTGTAGGGGTAGTGCAACCTTTCTGTTTGGACTTTTTTTCCTATTTTGTGCTGTGTGTTGACCAGAGATGAGCTTGGCCATCCTCCGAAACTATTCCTATCCAAACTTCAAAGTTGTGCCCTTTTTTTCAATCAGCTGTGGCCTGGGTCATTCCCCACCATGCAGCAAATGCAACAAAACAAATGTAATTGGCTAAATATGGGTAAGTGTCCATCTAAGGGCATCAATGTCACCAGCGTATTTACATGTGCTCCAGAGTGGGGAATGACCTGGCACACAGTTGATTGGAGGACAAAAAGGGCATGCGTGGAGTTTGGAGAACACATGAGCTCTTTTCTTGAGTACTGAAAACAAGCTGGTTGTTTTGCCCCTTTGCTAAAGAAAGTCATTTCTGTTGGTTTTGCAGAGAAATAAATGGGACTTCTGTTTTCAAAAGATTGCACTTTGTATGCCTCATTTCCCACTGATCCCCAAAATACATATACTGTATTTATAAAGTATACAATATTTCAATAAAAATTATCAATTTAAATAATATACATTTATAAGTTATGTATTATTACATTATAGACTGAAGGCTTAAAGTGCACCTTCAACTCCCCAACCCGAGAGGTACTGTGTTTATATTAGAGATAAGAAGGTTGGAAGGCTGCTAAGTTACTCCTGGGAGGAGGTAACAGGGTGATATATACTAGAGAACAACATGGATGACATCAGTGCTTCTGCTATGAAATTTAAGGATAGTTTGCTCCACAGTGTCTGTAGTTACAGCGATCAGTGAGGTTTTTTTAGGTCCTACTATTTGTCAAGCAAATGTAAATACTTGAATATCCATAGCCTGACCACAAGTTCACTTGACGTGAAGTTCTACATGGCATATACATTGATTCTGTAGATGTTCCAATATTCCTAACAGGCCCCCTTCAAAGCTAAATTCTGGGGATATGTAAAATCACCCTCTGGGCTCCCTCTGCATTGCATTGCAAGGGTTAAATTTGCTAATTTTTGATTAGGGTACCATTACAAAGCCGTTTTACTTAACTCATTCCTCACTTACCTGGCAGCCGGCACATTTACTCTTCTTTCTGATGCACCAGGTTGTGGGCAGGCCCTCATTGTCCTCACTTACAAGCAGGACTGTTGGTCTTGCATTGTATGTGATGACATCTGAGTACTACCGATGGATAAAGCGACTCTGGTTGCATGAAGGCGGGGAAAACCTTTGGGAGTGAAAAAGAACCCCTCCAGTGTTCGGGTCAATTTTAGCTTTAGGGACAGAATTGCATCAGACAATGTTGTGAGCTGTTATGTCAGTAGTATACTATTCACAACTTTTTGCCTTCTTACCTCAAGTATCACCTTCAAGTGCAGGGTTTTAGGTTGTTTTCATCATGTTATGTTTTTCTCTGCTGAAACCCTAACAAAATATATTATGAGTTAACTTGCTTAAACAATGACTAACTTTTCATTTTACACATGATTGGAAGTGATGCATTTTCACAGGTTATTCACTCTAGTTAAGATGATAACAATCTAAGGTGCCTTGCTGTGCAGGCTGTGAAATCACTGCCTGTGTAATAGAAATCACACTACTTGGGAAAAGTTAACATCGATGATGATTAGAGTTGATTGTGACTTCTGCTGTACAGACAAACCTGTCTGTGTACTAAAGGCAGATCTAGCAGGCTTATTGTGAACTGTACATGTATTACTTTAATATGACCTTTTTTTTATCACACAGGGTGTCCAAAGCCATCTGCTGGATCTGGGTGCTATTCCAATCAGACAGCCTTCCATGGTTGCATGCAGCTACTCAACGTGGATGGTCAGCCGGTGGACTTCCATCGTATGCAGCTGGGTTGGCTGGGGAGGTTCTCAGAAGTCATGTTTAATGTCTGTGCTATTGCTGACAGGTGATTGTTTGTTTGCCTGGGTTAACCTATAAATACAACACCAATTTATTATCTTTTGTGTACTTAAAGAATACCTGTATGTATTCAGTTTTATTAGATAAAGCCAACTTAAGTTTGTGATCTGACCTCCCTTTTCATTTCTGTCAAGTGTGCACATTTCTATACTTGTTTACACAAGACTGTACTTCTGATGCTTTATCCCCATCCAATCCCCAAATATATCTAAATATATATGTTCTATATTGTTTATGTACCATATCTTCAATCCCTGTAAATGCCTAGGTTTTCAGCTGAAGGTACCTGTACAGAATTCCAGAGGAAACATTTGTTCCCAAACCCCCTGATATCACTCTGCACCCTGTCCTGGTTTTGGTAGCGTAAGCTCCATCAACCTTTTTTGTTCATTCCCATGCATCGATAGAATGGGCCTGATTGAATATAGTGTCACAGGACTTTCTGATCAGGAAGAATAGGGAAGCAAAGAACAGCACAGACAGAAGAAGATATAAAGACTCTAGGGTGGCCATTTTTGACCAGGGTACCTCCAGAGGTAAAGACAATAAAAGTTGACTGCACTCCAATGATGTACCAGATAAAAATTCCATTTATTAGAAGCTTCATAACAAAAGCACAAATTACAACTCCCAATATGCCGACAGAGGACAGTTAACATGTTTTACTGTCCTCTGTCTGTATGTTGGAGTGGTGATGCATGCTTTTTTTATGAAGTTTTTAATAAATGGAAGTTTTATCTGGTACATTGTTGGAGTGCGGTCAACCTTTATTGTCTTTATCTGATGTTGTGGTGATTAGACTGGCACCTGTTTATGTCCAGAGGGGCGGATAGTTCATGTACTCACCTGAAGCAGTCTATCTGTTCTTGATACCTGCAGGATTCAAGGCCAATGCCACTGGGCAGAGTCAGTGACATGACACCAATAGTCTTTTATGCTATCTGTAAGGCTGGCATTCTGACAACCATTGTAATGGTGGGGACATTATTCACAATCAGGGCCACGATCAGAGGGGAACAACTTATACACACGTAGGGGGCCTGGGCATCCCCAGGGGCCCAGCAGGGTTGGGAGGAATGTGGCTTCATGTCTTTCTCTATACATTCACTAAAGAAGAGTAGGCAGCTGCTGCTGCTCTGTGTCATGTTCACTCTTTGTCTGTACTGCCTGTAATGTGGACTGTGCTTGGCTCCAGCTCCTCTCAGAGACATGTGTCTGCTTTGTGTAAACAAGAGCTAGGACTAGGAAGACCTCCTTTACCAGTAGAGGCTGTGTGTACAAGTGAAGGGAGGGGGCTGTTTGTGTGTGGGGTGGGGTGGAGCTGTGTGTGTGTGTGTGGCATATATACAGGTATGAAGGGTGCTAAGTGCATACAGGTGTGAGGGGGGCTGAGTGTGTAAACGTATGAAGGGACTAGGGGCTTGCAGGTTTAAGGGGTGCTGATTGTGTACAGGTATGAGGGGGGCTGCGTGCATACAGATATAAGGGATGCTGAGTGTGTACAGGTATGAAGGGTGCTGAGTATGTACAGGTATGGGGGGGGGGGGGGTGAGTGCATACAGGTGTGAGGGGTGCTGAGTGTGTACAGGTATGAGGGGGGCTAAGTGTGTACAGGTATGAGGGGGGCTAAGTGCATACAAGTGTGAGGGGAGGCTGAGTGTGTACAGGTATGGGGGGTCTGAGTGCCAATAGGTGGGGGGGGAGGCTGAGTGCCATCTCTCTGCTGGATTGGGGTGTCTCTTTGCCTAATATATGGAGATGTCTAACTGCTGGATAAATTGGAGATGTCTCTTTGCTGAAAATATGGGGCTGTCTTTTTGCTAGATTGGGATGTTTCTTTACTGAATATATGTGAATGTCTCTTTGATGGATTGGGATGTCTATTTGCTAAAAATATATGGGAATGTCTTTTTGCTGAATATATATATTTTTTGTTTTCTTAGATCTGTTAGGGGAGGATAGATTGGGGGGCATTGAAAAGGTCGTGCAGTTAGTGTTAGTGTTAGTGTAGGGTCATTCTCAAAAGAGTCTACCTTGTCATGGTGGCAGGCCAAAATAAAATTCCTTACTGCTAAATCTTAAAAACACTGATGATTTGGAATACACTTTTCATTTTCATATATTAAAGTGTAAGAGTGTTAAAAATAAAAGTGGGTTCCCCGAAGGACTTGGTTGGATGGCCAGTGGGTTGATTTGACGGGATGGCCAGTGGGTTGATTTGGTGGGACGGCCAGTGGGTGGGCCCTGGGGAATGTTGGCGGTCAGGTCAGAGGAGGCCTAGGCCTAAAGCTGTGTAAGGGGCCCCCAAATTTCTGATTGTTGCCCTGTTCACAATGACCACCAATGAAAGGGGCATTATTGCCACTGACCACCAACGTAACGGGCATTCTTTCAACTGACCACCAATGTAATGGGCATTCTTCCCACTGACCTCCAATGAATTGATTCTAGTAAGAGTACTCTGAGACCTGAAAATGGTTTCAAAGGTTCCTCTTGTGCTAAAAGGTTGAGAAAGGCTGCTCTAGATTACTATAATAGATTTTAGTGCCAGTTCCCTGACTGCAGAATATGATGGATGACCTAGATGGGAATCACTTTTTAAGGGCTAAGCAGCACTGGAGGTTTTAATCATCGAGCAATTTAAATAGTTATTGGCAATGGCCTACTTTTAATTACACAGATCTCACTGTGCTGAAAAGTAGTTACATAGTCTAGTTGGAAAAAAGACAAAAGTCCATCTAGCTCCACTAATAAAATAAATAAATAAAAATCCTCCATATACACAATTCTGAACCACAGTTGATTTCCAGCAAGCAGTACAATCATACAGTAATAAGTATTTAAAGTACATATATAAATGAGAGGAGTACAGAGCTGATATGGCTTACCTGATTCTAAAACTGCTAGTTGTTTGACAGTGTTCATTCTTACATGTCACAGACCTGCAACAAGCATGCAGCAAGTGAAAGTCAGAGTTTACCTTTAGCTTTAATCTAATTATCTTCACTGTGTGGCCCTGCACTGATTTTGCAAAGCCTTCCCCAAAAAGTGCAGGTTTGTACTGTGCATGCACACTGCAGCCTCATTCATTCCTATAGGAAAGCCATACTCCGAGTGAAAACTTCAGACCACAATGAACAGAGACATGCTGGGATTTATTAGCCTCAGGAGGACTGTGTTAAGATGGCTATAGATGGATGGAAATTCAGCCTGATCAAAAGGGATTAGCATAATTTCCAGCTATCTATGGCCATTCATTCAATGATCTGCTTCTCATGAACGGGCTTGTTGGGAATATTTTTTTGTCTGATCAGCACTGCAGCCAATTGGCTGATCGGTGTATTCTGACAGCAGAGAAGACCCACTGTCAGAATACAATGACTTAATGGAGAGGAGTCCTCCACTCATCCCTCTTGTGTGGATGGGTGAATCCGTTCAGCTCTTTTCAATCAGCCTGCTGATATTTTTTTTTGTGCACTGTGGTGCATTGCCAGTCTGTTCACCCATGCAACAGGATATTCTTTAAGTGGTTGCAAACCTTTACCCAGTAAAGTGACTGGCCTCAGGTGATACACTGAGATGAAACAAATCATTCTACATAAGTTTATCTGCAACCATCTGTTTTCAACAACCTCCGAAAACACACAGATCAAAGGTAATTTCTCAGCTCCAGCAGGCAGGGGGTGGAGATCTGATGTCGCCCACTGCACAGCATAGAGTGGGTAGTTGAGTGTAATCTGAGACCTGAGTGGTGGGAAAGGACACACCCCTCTACACAGTCTCTTAGGAAAACATGAAAGTTTGAGGCTGTTAATCACCTTCTGTGTGCTGGAGGGGGCTGGGGCCCCCACCAGAGATTCTGTGGTGTTGGGATAAGATGTCAAAAATTACTAATGCAGATGGAAGAGAGAGAAGACTGGTGCTTTGGATTGGGGCAAGCACACTATATGGGGGTATGATCTATTCATTTTTAATTTCACAGGTTTACAACCACTTTAATCCCTTTCCAAAGCAGAACATATTCACCTTCTTATATTCATCTTTCCTTTGCTCCCCTACCATTGCGTTAAACTGCTTGAGTCAAAGACAGACCTTTGCAAGGTCAGAGTTGCTCCAGTTGGTGCTTTCACAGAACTGAAAGCTCTCTCTGCCCTCATGTGACTGGGCCAGTCACATGTTACACCATACCTGAAATACTGAGTATTTTCTTACCTCTTGGCAGCTCTGCGGAGTGATGGGGAAGGAAGAAATGGTGAGTATATGCTGTTGGAGAGGAGGGCATAAAGAAAACTTAGACAAAGCAGCTATGTACTTATCGATCATAATGCCAGGGGTAGTTGATCCAGAGAATATCCAAATGCCTTGGGGGATCAGGAAGGAATTTCAGGAAGGTTTTCTATTTATTCATGTTCTGTTGGTTGGTCTAGGAGGTGAACCTGTGTCTTTTTTTAAAATAACTATATAAGATCAGAGGATTTTTTTAACCCTGTGTCATGCCATTCTAGCTCTTTCCATCAGTCATCACTGCACATACGGATTCATATCACCTTTTTTGATTTCAGATGCAGGCCAAATCCTTGTGAACATGGAGGGCGTTGCTATCAGTCTTGGGATGACTTTTTCTGCATCTGCGACATGACTGGTTACAAGGGGGAAACCTGCCATAAATGTGAGTGTCACTTCAATCTGTAGGAGTTCATGTGCCAACTTTTAGTATTCCATACACTAGGCTCTAAATAATCAATTGATTTTATTTTCATTAATATCGCAATCCATCCAAATCTGGTGTTAAAACTTTTAGTGTAAAGTGTAAGAAAAGGCTAACTTTAACTATTCTTAAAGTGGTTGTGAAGGCTGAAGGTTTTTTATTTTCATGCATTCTGTGCATGAAGGTAAAAAACCTCTGTGCAGCATTCCCCCCAATACTCACCTAAGCCCCCTCTCGATCCAGCGATGTGCACTGGAATCTCGGCTATCGCAGGACTCCCTCTCCTCATTGGTTGAGACAGCAGCAGGAGCCATTGGCTTCCATGAGGCAATGAAAAGAGAGAGGGGGCGGGGCCAAGCCACAGCTCTGTGGGTGAGTGGATACATGGAGCAGCGAGTGCCCCCATAGCAAGCTGCATGCTGTGGGGGCACCCGACAGGAGGGAGCGGCCAGGAGCGCCAGCGGGGATTTGAGAAGAGGAGGATCCAGGCTTCTCTGTGCAAAACCACTGCACACAGCAGGTAAGTATGATGTGTATTTTTTTATTTAAGCCTATAGTATCACTTTAAAAACATTCCATTCCCCCTCCTCCTACCTATCTTGCGTATCTATTTTTATTCACTTGCGCTACTGCTTACCACCCTCTGAAAAGCAATCCCTAGTGGATTGCTTTTTAGAGTGTGGTATAGCAGTGCCCGACAGGCATTCAGGAGGTGCAACTGCACCCCCTGAATGCCATTTTGTTAACTTTTATTTTTAAATTGCCAATTTGGTTTGCAGCACTGCGCCGCAACTGAGATCTGAGTGTTTGGCATTTGCTGGTAACGCCTGAATTCTTCACCCAGCAAAGTATCACAGCTGTGGCATGTGTACAGTCCTGTCTGGCTGTATTGTTAAGTTTGGTTGGGCAGCCAGGGGGCAGTAAAACCGCAGCTCAGCCACTTGTTTTTACCAACCCCTGCTGCCCACATGAAAAAGCCCTAAGACAATTTTATTATATGTAACTTAATAGAAATAACTTCTGGGCTTTTCTAAATATGTGTTACCAAACATTAATCTACCCAAAGACACATTCCAACCCTAGGCTGTTACACTTTGTAGAGCTGGCTAAAACAAAAAACCCAATCTTTTGACCAGAACAGATGCTTGAAACAAGGTCCACTACCCAACACCTCCTATCCAATGTAGCAAAACAACTGACAGGTGTTCTAACCATTTACTACACTTTAAAGGGTAACTCCACTTTTGTGGAATAAAAATATAGCATACATAAAAAAATAATATAGCATATACAATTTCTACACAAGCCATATTGTTTGTTCATGTTATTAAAAATTAAATTTTCGGTCTACAGCACTGCATTTCTGTAAATTTCAATGCAATATGTAATTTCCTCCCTTTTGTGATTGGCTCACTGATTTTGCCAAAAGTCTAAACAAAGACATGTCAGATTTTAGGCATCCTCTGCAATAGGAATTGCAGTTTTGGTGATACTCCCCAAGGGTTGAATACCTCAAAAAGCAGGGGTGTCAAACTGGCAGCCCTCCAGCTGTTGTGAAACTATAAGTCCCATCATGCCTCTGCCTTTGGGGTGTCATGCTCGTAACTGTCAGTCTTGCAATGCCTCATGGGACTTGCAGTTTGGCAACAGCTGGAGGGCCGCCAGTTTGACACCCGTGCTCTAAAGGGATGCAGACACGGCAGCTTTTCTCATCGGAACACTGAGAGTGCACCAGTGATTATAATGAACCAGACCCTCCTATTCAGATTTAGTCTGCACAGGACATGGTGGAACAAATGGTTTTATCTTCAGAGCAGAAACAGTTAGGAATCTGAAACAAAAATGCTTGCAATATTTGTAAAGTGAATGGTGTGGGTGGGTACAGAGGAGCACCACAACCCTGATAATATAGATAACAGAAACATAGAAAAAGAATGGGACTTTTAAGGTGATATAAACCACAGGAATGGGCACCATATACTAACATATCAAAAAATCTTTTTATTAAGGATTATTAAAAGTAATCAGAAAGCTAAAATGTGCAACACAGCCAAGAACAGTGATCATATTGTAATACAAACCACCTTATATGTCCCACCCACATTAATAGTAATAAAAATACCAGCTAAAATATGATAATGTAACCCAAATTTGACAAAAGAAAGAACACAAATCGGATGTCACTGAAAAGTAGAGGGAGGAAGGAGGATGCTTTGTCTCAGCACGCTTGAGAAAACACATAAGCATTGATAAACAATGATATCCATTATCAATTATATAACATAACCATATGGTAGCATGTCAATATCATTACTACTTACAATGATCACAAATAAGTACACATAGGCGGCACTGCATAGGCTACACCAAAAAGCCAGGGGAGGGATGTGGACCCAAGGTAGCATCAACCCCAAGAGGACAGGGCAGGCACCAGGGGATTTAGACCCAAAGGCCAACACAGACTTGGTAGCCTATAAACAAACATTAGATGGCAATGGGCCCAAAGAAAAAACTTTGAGGGTTAGCCTGTGCAGCGCCACCTATGTGTACTTTGTGATCATTGAAAGTAGTAGTGATGTTAACATGCTACAATATCGTTATGTTATATAATTGATAGTGGACATTACTGTTTTATCAATGTTTATGTGGTCTAGCATTAGCACCTTTAACCACCTTCCGCCCGCCCTATAGTACAATGACGGGCGCAAGGTGGTTCTCTCGTTCTGATAGGACGTCATATGACGTCCTACCATTCTCACAGCGCATGCACGGCGATCGCCGGTCTGCTGTGTCCCTCGTACACAGCGGATCACGGAAAGAGCCGAAGATGTCGGCTCGGTCATGTGATCAGCTGTGTCCAATCACAGCTGATCACATGTAAACACGGAAATGCCGGTTATCGCCATTTCTCTCCTCTCGAGCTGTCACGCTGACAGCTCGAGAGGAGAGCCGGTGATCGGCTTTCCGTGGAGGGGACATGTGCCCTGATGATCAGTGTGGCCCCAGAAGTGCCACCTGTCAGTGCTCATCAGTGCCAGTGCCCATCAGTGCCACGTGCCAGTGCCCATCTGTGCCCCATCAATGCCACATATCAGTGCATACCAGTGCACATCAATGCCACATATCAGTGCCCATCTGAGCTGCCTTTCAATGTCACCCATCAGTGCCAGTCAATGCCACCTATCAATGCCAATCAGTGCCACCTATCAGTGCTGCCAATCAGTGCCACCTATCAGTGCCAGTCAGTGTCACCTATCAGTGCGCATCAGTGCCAGTCAGTGCCGCCTAACAGTGCCAGTCAGTGCCGCCTATCAGTGCCAGTCAGTGCTGCCTATCAGTGCCTCCTATCAGTGTCATGTATCAGTGTCATGTATCAGTGCTGCCTTTCAGTGCCCATCAGTGATGCCTGTCAATGCCCATCAGTGCACCCTACCAGTGCCTCCTCATCAGTGCCCATCAGTGCCACCTATCAGTGTCCAACAGTGCAGCCTATCAGTGTCCATCACTGCAGCCTCATTAGCGCACATCAGTGAAGGAGAAAAATCACTTATTTACAAAACTGTATAACTAAAACTAAGAAAAAAAACGTTTTTTTTCAAAATTTTCAGTGGTTTTTGGTTTAAGAAAAAATAAAAATCCCAGAGGTGATTAAATACCACCAAAAGAAAGCTCTATCTGTCTAAAAAAAATTATAAAAATTTCATATGGGTACAATGTTGCATGACTGCGCAATTGTCATTCAAAGTGTAACAGCGCTGAAAGGTGGAAACTGGCCTGGGCAGGAAGGGGGTATAAGTGCCCTGTAGGCTAATGGTTAAAGTCTCCTGCAGAAGCACAATCTGCGAAATGTGTTGAGATGAAGCATCCTTCTTCTTCCCCTCACTTTTTAAAGATACCCGATTTGTGTTTTTGTTCTATAAAATGTGGGTTACATTATCATGTAATTGCTGGTATCTTTATAATATTAGTGCAGGTGGGACATATAAGGTGCTTTTTATTATGATCTTTGACTATGATCACTGTTCATGGCTATGTTGCAAATTTTAGTTTTGTGGAAGAATTTTCCTCCTTCATGACCAGGTAATTTTTTTGCTATTCAGCACTGTGCTACTTTAACTGGCAATTGTGCAGTCATGCAACACTACCCCCCTTGACATTTATATCATTTTTTCACACAAATAGAGCTTTCTTTTGGTGGTATTTGATCACCACTGGATTTTGTTTATTTTTTTATTATATAAATGAATGAAGACTGAAAATATTGAAAAAAATGTTTTCACTTTCTGCTATAAAATATATACCCAATACATTTTTTTTTTAAATTATGCTTCTTCACAAATGTAGACCAAAATGTATTTTGCTAAATATCTTTGGTTTCAAAAAATACTATAACCACCCTATGGAAAACCCCATCCCTACCGAGTGGGCACAAATCTTAATTTCCAGTGTGATATGCTGAGAAGATTTTCTCTATCTCATTTATCTTATCACAAATTTCTTAAAACCTGGCAGTTATGGTCACTGCATCCTAAATGTACAGTTAAAGTTTGATGGCTATTACCCTTTGGAGTATAATAATCACTAGGTAAAAATGGATTTGCATATCTGACTGGTATTTTGTTAGTCTGTGATTATATGCTTTCCTTGTTAAACCCCCCTCCTCCATCCCCCTTCGAATCCGCCTCCCCCCCACCATTTCACCCCCACCCCCCCCACATGGTTCATATTGTACTGTCTGAAAACATGCTTATTTCACTCCTGACATATCTATGTACTGTATGTACCAATATGAACCTATGGATGTCCGGGTTCATTGTTTTCCTTGTTAACTTGAAACCAATAAACATGAGGTGAAAATAAATATCTTTGGTAAAAAAAAATCCTAATGAGTGTATATTGATTGGTTTGTGTGAAAGCCAAAACGTCTACAAACAATGGTATATATACTGGATTTTTTATTTTTTTTTCTACACTACTAATGGTGGTGATCAGCTACTTATAGTGGGACTGTGATAGTGTGGTGGGCAAACTGTCACTGGGTGTACTATGTGCTGTTTTTAATAAGCAATGTGCTGGTTTTTATTCCCTGCTTTTGCTCTATTTCTGCAGTAGGCGGTCGCCAAGTGGTTTATTAAGACTTAATAAATAGAAGATTTTATGATTTTATATGACTCTTTAAGTCTGCCTTTTGTGTAATTTTTTTGGTGGAGTGTTTGCATACAATATCTCCAGGAGCTGCCAATAACAGATTAATGCTGGGGCTTTTTCACAATTCTCAGAATGTGTAAATGATGTGCCCTCTAAACAGGTAAACCGCATAGCAAATAAAAATGTTAAATGTATTGCAAACCTTTCTGTTTATACGATAAGGACATCCCCATCATTCTAATCTTCTTCTAATTTTCATTATTAAGCTCTTTTCAAGGAAAACTGCGACGCCTACAGAATTAGCGGCAAATACTCTGGCAATTACACTGTGGACCCAGATGGCAGTGGACCTTTAAAGCCTTTCTATGTCTACTGTGACATTTCTGGTACTGTAATCTTGTTTACTGATAGTAGCTGAATGTTTTGGATATAGTACAGCAGACTAAAAACCTTCAATATTTTAGATAGAGATCATTTACTTAATTGTCAACTGAACAACAACCGCCTGGCAGCACTGGGGTCATTGGTTCGAATCCCAGCCACAACGCCACCTGCCTGGAGTTTGCATGTTCTCCCTGTGTCTGAATGGATTTCCTCCAGGCACTCTGGTTCCCTCCCACACTCCAAATACATGCTGGTAGGTTAATTGGCTCCTGTCTAAATTGGTCCTGGTTTGTGCATGTATGAATACGAGTTAGGGACCTTATATTGTTTGCTCATTGAGGGTTAGGCACTGATGTGAATGGACAATATATATATATATATATATATGTGTGTAAAGTGCTGCATAAATTATAAATTGACAGGTGCTATATAAGTACCTGTAATAAATAAATAAAATAAATGTATCCTGCAACAATAATATAGTGGTTCGAACTAAGAGCTTAATTTTTGTGTTTGCCGATGACACCAAATTATGCAGCGAAATAACTTTAACGTAGGATTTAGCAAATATACAGGAAGACCTGTAGAAATTCCATTTAAAGTGGTCTTGTCAGCACGGGTCACATAAAAAAAATTCCCTGTAAAAAAAGAGGTGATGTTCTTATCGTCCTGGTGGCCTGTATCTTTTTCACCGGAGCAAGTTATGGTTAGCAGTAAGGGCATATGTATAGGGGTCGTGATTGTGAACTGGCTCCCTTGTACACCTAGATAGGAGGGGCGGTGGTATGTAGAGGAACTGCTCCCTCCATGCAGTCGCTGAATGCCCACTTCTCCTCCTCTCCCTCCCACAGACATTCAGCAACTGCAAGAGGGAAATGGAGGGCATCGGTTCCTCTACTTGCCACCCACACCACCTCCCTATCCCTGTCCTGGCTACTGTGTGCTCCTCAGACCCCCAAGCGCTGCCGGGGTTCCCCCCTCCTACTTCCTGCCATCAGGGGATAATGAATAGAAGACTTAATGAATAGGGTCAGTGATTGGTACCATTTTTTTTTTTATTCATTCATAGCTGAGACATAGTGAGGTCAGGAAGGGGGGCCGCTGCGGGACCATAGTAAAGGGTCCCATGACAGGAGTAAAGGGTCCCAGGATCAGTGGGATGAGCTCCAGCCAGGGGGCCCTTCATGGTTTCTTGCAGCGGGGCCCTGAAGGTTCTAGTTACGCCTCTGGTTAGCAGGTTGACCAACTGCCAAAGGTTGAGACAGGAGTGTAGCTAGAGGTTATTTTCAATGTTAATCACAACAAGAGCAGGGGGGCCAATTACAGAGCTTGTACAGGGCAATTGTTTTTAAATGATAGAAATAAATAAGTGGGTTTTATGATTATGGGTTTGCATGTTATATTTGTTTGCATTTACAATAAGATGAACTGAATGGTTAGCTCAGCGTTGAGGTATTCCATATTAAATTAGTAGCCACAAGTGGTTTTACCTGGAAATGTAACAAAGTCTCCATGTAGGTTTTCAGCTTTTACAATAAAATTCAGATAAGAATGCATAATACTAATGATAAATCATGAAATAACTGTTTTTTAATTGTCACCACAATAGATTTATACAAAAAGGAAAAAAATGTGTCTTTAAATATAATGATTGAATTTAAAAATGGGCGTAGATTTTATTTTAATCTGAACATTAGGCTAATATGAAAAACACAAATAAATATGTGTTTATTAATGCATCAATATGTGTTTTTTTTAATGCAAGCAGTGCAATTGCAGTAATACCTCGGTTTACGAATTTAATTCGTTCTGCAGGACTTTTCGTATAGTGAAAAATTTGTAAACCAAAAAGACCGTTTCCCATAGGAATGCATTGAAAACCAATTAATCCATTCCGTATGTCAGAAAAAAGTAAACGCTACTAAAATATTGCATGAGTTATTTTATCAAGTCATGTGGTATTTTAGTAGTGACAACCATGTGTTAATGTTTCAGCTGTCAGCGGGGTTCCCCACTGACAGCTGAATGTAAAAGAATTGCCGGCAATTAAAAAAAATAATTTAAAATACGGCTTGGTGTCCCCGCTCCCATCGATACCAAGCCCTTCGTGGGGGTCACCCCCCAAAATCCATACCAGACCCTTATCCGAACATGCAGCCCGGCAGGTCAGGAAAGGAGGGGGGGATGAGCGAGCGCCCCCCCCCCCTCCTGAACCATAAGACGCCACATGCCCTCAACATGGGAGGGTGCTTCAGGACAGGCACCTTGTCCTCATGTTGAATAAAAAAAAAAGGCTTCGCTTCCGACGATGTATTCCAACCGTCTGCCTGCGCCGGTGGTTTGACAGTTCTTAAATATGTAAGGGGTGGGCCACCCGGGGACATCAACTGAGTGACCTGCCCCATGTGACATCATTGATGGCCCTGCCCCTTTCTTTTAATAAAGGACTTGTTAAAGACCATGTCCTGTCTTTTTTCACACTACACTTTTTGTTTTTTTGTGAATGAGTAGGGGTACCATGTACCCCATACTCATTCACATGGGGGGGGGGCCTGGGATCTGGGGTCCCCCTTGTTAGAGGGAGCTTCCAGATTCTGATAAGCCCCCTGCCCGCAGACCCCCACACCCACCGGCCAGGGTTGTGGGGAAGAGGCCCTTGTCCCCATCAACATGGGGACAAGGTGCTTTGGGGGGGGAACCCCCCTGCCCCAAAGCACCCCCCATGTTGAGGGCATGTGGCCTGGTATGCTTCAGGAGGGGGGTGCGCTCTCTCGTCCCCCCCCCTTTCCTGACCTGGCGGGATGCTTGGATAAGGGTCTGGTATGGATTTTGGGGGGGGGGGCCCATGCCTTTTTTTTTTTTTAATTTTTGGCTTGGGAGTTCCCCTCAAAATCCATACCAGACCCGAAGGGCTTGGTACGGATGGGAGGGGGACCCCCACGCCGTTTTTTTATTTATTATGGTGCTGGTTTTTAAATGTAATTACCGCTTTTTTTTTCTTCACTATAGCTCAGAAATTCAGCTTTCACTTTCCCCAGCTGAAAGAGAGAAAGTTTTCTTTTTAGTTTATTGCCCTGAGTTAAGAGAAACAATGTTTCCTTTTAGTTTCTTAAAAGAAACAAAGTTTTCGTCAACTCCGGGGAAAGTGACAGCTAATTCTGTGTGCTATAGTGAAGAAAAAAAAAAGCCGACAATTGCATTTAAAAATTGGCACCGACATGCGAAAAGAATTTGTAAACCGAGGCATTATTTTCAATGAATTTTCATCCGTAAACCGAAAATTACGTTAACCGAGGCGTTTGTAAACCGAGGTATTACTGTACCTGAATTTGGCCTGGTGTCAGCCCTGTACAGCAGAGCTCAGTTTGGGAGAGGGAGAGGTAGAGCCAGCACAAGGAACCAATCAGTTGTGCTGCTGCATACTGATAGGAGGAGAGAGCATAATGACAGAGATGACTTCACAGGCTGGGTGAGGGGAAATACCTGTACATGTTAATAAACTTCAACAGTGAATAAGCTGTTCTCCTTCCCTATCAGACATGGCTGTGTTATGTGGTAGAACTGTGTAAATCTCAGGACTGAATAGACAGGTAAAAAAAATAATTTGAAAGATAAAAGGCTTCCTTATGTTTTGCATCTGTTTATTTAGCTATGTGTCTGGAGCTCAGTTTTAAATTGAATCTCAAATTTGCCAATGCAGCGCAAAGCAGCGTTGGTGTACTTTGATGCTGTTCCCCTACCACTCCAACTGATGGCAGAGTGAGGCGAAGAAACACAATGAGCAATTTTATTTCTTCAGAAAACAATCACAGTCTAAGTAGAAAAGCTCCAATAGGCTCTGCTGAGTCAGAGCTGTACGGTAGCAATACAGAGGTGCCTGGTGTAGTTCACTAAATTGGCTACTACATGTTGTCTTAACTACTTGCCAACCAGCGACGTACCAGTTTCGTGCTGGACTACTTTTAAAGGCGGAGGAAGGAGAATGCACTGTAGAATTACAGTGTGAAAAAAAAAATCAAATCAAATAAAAATTAAAAAAAGTGAAAACGTTTCCCCATGCTTGCTCATAATGCGAACTCACATGGAAGTCTCACATCCATAAACGGCGATCGCACAACACGTGAGGTATATTAGGTATCTATTTATTCGATGTAACATCATCTTTCATATTTTTCCAAACAATTATACTGTGTTTTTGATGAGCTTACCAAGATATATATATATATATATATATATATATATATATATATATATATTTATATATAGTTGTGTTCAAAATAATAGCAGTCAGACATCACTAACCTGATCAATCACTGTTTTTGGTAGAAATTATATTTCTACATGGCAAATAATTTACTAGCAGGTGTAGTAGAGTAATAGAAATCCAACAGACCCAACAGTCATGACATGCATGCTGCTGATTCTGTGTATTGAATCACTAATTCAAAAGGGGCATGTTCAAAATAATAGCAGTGTGGAGTTCTATTAATGAGGTCATTCATTCTTTGAAAAACAGGTGGCAATTATTGCCCTTATATAAGGAAGGAAGGCAGCAAATGTTGTACATGCTGGTTACAGTGCATTTCTCTCTGAAATTCTGAGGAAAATGGGTCGTTCCAGACATTGTTCAGAAGAACAGCATACCTTGATTAAAAAGTTGATTGGAGAGGGGAAAACATATATAAAGAAGTGCAGAAAATGATAGGCTGCTCAGCTAAAATGATTGCAAATGCTTTAAAATGGCAACCAAAACCTGAAAGACGTGGAAGAAAGCGAAAAACTACCATTCGAATGGATAGAAGAATAGCCAAAATGGCAAGGACTCAGCCAACAATCAGCTCCAAGAAGATCAAAGAAGGTCTAAAGTTACCTGTGAGTACTGTTACAATTAGAAGACTCCTATGTGAAGCCAAGCTATCTGCAAGAAGCCCCCGCAAAGTCCCACTGTTGAAAAAAAGACATGTGCTGAAGAGGTTACAGTTTGCCAAAGAGCACATTGACTGGCCTAAAGAGAAATGGCGCAACATTTTGTGGACTGATGAAAGTAAGATTGTTCTTTTTGGGTCTAGTGGCCGGAGACAGTTTGTCAGACGACCCCCAAACACTGAATTCAAGCCACAGTACACTGTGAAGACAGTGAAGCATGGTTGCACAAGCATCATGATATGGGGATGTTTCTCATACTACGGTGTTGGGCCTATTTATCGCATACCAGGGATCATGGATCAGTTTGAATACATCAGAATACTTCAAGAGGTCATGCTGCCTATGCTGAAGAGGAAATGCCCTTGAAATGGGCAACGACCCCAAACACACCAGTAAACGTGCAACATCTTGGTTCCAGACCAACAAGATTGACGTTATGGAGTGGCCAGCCCAATCCCCGGATCTTAATCCAATAGAAAACTTGTGGGGTGACATCAAAAATGCAGTTGCTGAGGCAAAACCAAGAAATAGAGAAGAACTGTGGAATGTAGTCCAATCGTCCTGGGTTGGAATACCTGTTCACAGGTGCCAAAAGTTGGTTGACTCCATGCAACACAGATGTACAGCAGTTCTCAGAAACAGTGCTTATACAACTAAATATTAATTAAGTGATTTAAAGGAAAGCAAAATCTTCAAACATTTTTCAGTTTATATAGAGAATGTTTGAGTTTGTAAAGAAGAATACAAACACTGCTATTTTTTTGAACAGTCTAATATTCACTTTTCTTCAATTTTTTTAGAGGAACAACACAAATTTGTTATATTTTCCTTCATGTTTTGATTAGGAATAGAACATGTAGTGTTCCCAATGCATTTGTGTGTATGGAAATAAAAGCTATTAGAAGGATTTTGAGCTGTATTCACTTTTTTCAACATACTGTTATTATTTTGAACACAACTGTATATAGTTCATGTTGGAGGTCATATATATTTTTTAAGTTAATATTTTTTTTTGCACATCTTTATTGATTTGCATTCATATTTTTAGTTACGCTGCACTTTTTTTTTTATATTGATTTCTATTGATGTTTGAACACACAACAGTGAATAGCTGCAACACAATATATTAGTTTTCCTATAGACATTTGGGTTAGCGCGGGAGTTTTTTCTTTTTTGGTTAATTCATTTTTACAGAAAAATTGCATTAAAAAAACTGCTGCACAAATTTCATGCAACAAAAAATTGCAACACCCACAGCTTTATTCTCTAGGGCCTCTGCTTAAAAAATTATAATGTTTGTGGGGTTCGAAGTCATTTTCTATAAAGGAAATGCTGATTTTTATATGTATGTGAGAGGTGTCAGAATTGGCCTGGGGTTCAGGTGGAATTAGGTGTAAGAACAGGTAGTGAATAGTAGGCATATGTTTGTGCCTAGGTAGCCACTAGAGGGGTCCCCAGAAATGTGAGCTAGGAGTGCTGTAAATAGCAGGAAGTGCCAGCCCTGACATTGCCAGCGTGAGATACCTTTGGAAAGATGGCTGTGTATAAATAAGTCTTGCAAAAGTCTACCTGGCAGGTGCTGGTCATTGGAATCCATGCAAGGGCCAAGGCATACAAAGATGTAGTCTTCAAGACTTTAGCTTCTGGAAACTTCCTCTTTGAAGGGGGGCAAGGAAGAAGACTATTCACATCCTTTGGCTTGGGATGTGGGACTGCTTGCTAGAGGCCGCTCCTATGTAAAGCCAATGCGTTTCAGTAAAGAGTTTTTAGGCTATGGTTGTGTGGACTTTTTCTTCTAACCCCATGATGGGCATGTCTTCTAGAAACAAAACTTGTGCAGGGGAGGCAGTTATTGAGGTCCATTACTTTAAGACCTAGGGAAGGTAAGGAGCAATCTACTGGTGGTGCATGTTAGGCAAGACAGGGGCCTTCGAGTGGTGCCACTGTAATGGTGCCTAGGAGAGGTTCCTTTGCCCACAGTGCCTCAGTGAGCCAAAGGGGCCAACCCATTCTGGACAGGAATAGTTTTAAAAAGTACAGTTGCATGTGGAGGACATGCTCCCCAGCACGCGACTGGAACAGCACTCAACAGAGCTAGAAATCTACATTCAGCAGGAAACATGAGCTTTGCTGATGACAAGTCTGACTGAGCAAGGGGGTGCATTGCATGTCTGCAGAGAGAAATCTCATAGAGAGCAAGGGTCATTCTCTGCAGCCTGCTGGCAGATGACAAGCTTTTCTACTTTGGCTGTGGCTGCTTTAAAAAACAAAACAAAACAAAACTGTACGATTTTTCATACTGATCAAATGTTGCTTATAATCACTGCAGTAATTACAGTAAGCCATTTGTTAACATTCCAGAATCTGCCTCCAATGTTTTAATGTGAAACAGTAAGTAGAATTAAATTAAAGAATCATATAAATCCCTGACCGTTGCTGTGTTTGTTGCATATTAGAGGAAAGAGCTTGGACCTTAGTACAACACGACCGGTACTATCGCACTAAAGTGGTTGGCTCCAGTCCAGACCAGCCGTTCTTAGGAGAGGTGCATTACTGGAATGCTTCTTGGGGAGAGGTGTCTGCATTGGCTAATGGATCGGAATATTGTGAACAGATGATAGAACTATCCTGCTACAGGTCCAGGCTCCTCAATACACCAAGTAAGAGATTTCTCATGAATTACCAATTATGCCATATCTTGTATTATCTAATGCTTTCTACATTTTTACTAATAGGCAACTAGTACTATTATGAGTGCTTTTCACATTGACACTCAAACTGTACTCTGTATCTCACAAATGGCTTTGTATTATGGTAACAATATGTCCCTATATTTCTACATAGTATCATATGTGTACCATCAGTAGACATGCGCAGAACCAAAAAATGTGTTTCTTTTCGCTTCGGAACGATACGTTAAGTTACTAATTTCATTTTGTTACATTCGTTTTCGACCAGATTCAAACTTTTCCAATAGATTTGAATCAAATTTGAATAAAAAATATTGAAATGATCCGAATTCATTGTGAAGAATAGCTGGTTCTATTCTCTTCAAAGTTCAAATTTCAGAAGACGTATATATTTTTTTTCTATTCTATTCTGTTTTTTTCTATTCTAATCTATTTTCTATTATTTTTTTTTGTATTATATTCCAGGCTATTCTATTCTTTTATTTTCTATTCTATTCCTTTATTTTCTACTCTATTCTGTTTTGTTCTAGTCTGTTTTATTTTATTCGAAACTCAAATTTTGGAAGATGGCTATATTCTATTGTTTTCTTTTTTATTCCTTTATTTCTGTTCTATTCTTTTCTATTCCTTTATTTTCTGTTCTATTTTATTAGTTTCTATTCTATTCTTTTATTTTCTATTCTATTCTATTCTTTCATATTCCTTTCTTTTCCTAATTCAAATTTCGGAAAACAGCTATATCCTAACACTAATACACACAGTCTTTGATGGAAATTTTCAATAGCCAGCAATACAATGCATATAAAAAGTCTACACACCCCTGTTAAAATGTCAGGTTTCTGTGATGTAAAAGAAATTAGAGAAAGATAAATAATTTCAGAACTTTTTCCACCTTTAATGTGACCTATAAACTGTACTCAGAACTCAATTGAAAATAAACTGAAATCTTTTAGGACGGGGAAGTAAACATTACCAGGAACTGGATGTCCCTCCAAAATTGATGAAAAGACGAGAAGAAAACCAGTCTGGTAGGCTGCCAAGAGGCCTATAGCAACATTAAAGGAGCTGCAGGAATATCTGGCAAGTACTGACTGTGTGGTACATGTGGCAACAGTCTCCCGTATTCTTCATATGTCTGGGCTATAGGGTAGAGTGGCAAGACGGAAGCCTTTTTCTTACGAAGAAAAACATCCAATCCCAGCTAAATTTTGCAAAAACACATCTGAAGTCTCCCAAAAGCATGTGGGAAAATGTGTTATGATCTGGAACCGGGGCCTTAGTCAAAGTAAGAGGGGATTATGAACAGTTCCAAATACCAATCAATACTGGCACAAAACCTTCAGGCTTCTGCTAGAAAACTGAACATGAAGAGGAACTTCACCTTTCTGCCTGACAATGACCCTAAGCATACATCCAAATCAACAAAGGAATGGCCAGAAGGAGATTGAAGTTTTGGAATGGCCCAGCCAGAGCCCAGACCTGAATCTGATGGAAAATCTGTGGGGTGATCTGAAGAGGACTGTGCACAGGAGATGCCCTCACAATCTGACAGATTTGGAGATTTTTTGCAAGGAAGAGTGGGCAAATATTGCCAAGTCAAGATGTGCCATGCTGATAGCCTCATACCCAAAAAGACTGAGTGCTGAAGTCAAATCAAAAGGTGCTTCAACAAAGTATTAGTTTAAGGGTGTGCACAGTTATGCAACCTCAATATTTTAGTTTTTTATTTTTACTTCCCTCCACCTAAAAGATTTCAGTTTGTTTTTCAACTGGGTTGTACAGTTTATAGGTTACATTAAAGGTGGATAAAGTTCTGAAATTATTTATCTTTGTCTCATTTTTTTACATAGAAACCTGACATTTTAACGGGTGTGTAGACTTTTTATATTCACTGTATGTTTGGAATTCGATTCAAATTATTTCGGACAAAATTTAGTTTTGTTATTTTGAATGCATTTAAATTAGTCACTATTGTAATTCAAAAATTTGGATATAACCAATCTCCAAATATCATAAATTTGGTCCAAATTTGAATTCGGAATGAAATGAACAGCACGTCTAATCATCAGTCACCGCCAAGTGTCAACTGATTTTGTAGCAGTGATTCCTTGCCAATACAAATCATAAGCAATTTGTTACAAGTGGCAACATTCTAAAGTGACAGTGGATACATGGGGAAAATAGCAGAGATCAGCTAATGAAAAACATTAACCATTTCCCCCCTTCCTGAACAAGCCATTTTTTGCGATACGGCTCTGCGCTACTTTAACTGACAATTGCACAGTCATGCAATACTGCACCCAAATTAAATTTAAGTCCTTTTTTCCCACAAATAGAGCTTTCTTTTGGTGGTATTTGATCACCTGTGTGTTTTTTATTTTTTGTGCTATAAACAAAAAAAGACCGACAATTTTGAAAAAAAAACCCAATATTTTTTACTTTTTGCTATAAAAATATCCAATAAAAAAATGTAAAAAAAATCTAATTTCATAATAAATTTAGTCCAAATTGTATTCTGCTCCATGTCTTTGCTATAAAACAAAAAATCCCAATACATGTAAATTAATTGGTTTACATGAAAGTTATAGTGTCTACAAATGGTGGTACTGTATATATACTGGACTTTTTTTTTTTATACTAGTAATGGCGGCTATATAGCGGGACTGCGGCAGGCATTATGACACTGGGTGGGAACTAACTAACTGCCACTGACATCCCCAGTGACACTAATACAGTGATCAGTGCTAATAAAAAGGACTGACACTGTACTAATGGCACTGGGCAGGAAGGGGTTAACATCTGGAGCAATCAAAGAGTTAACTGTGTGCTGTGGTTATTTTTTTTTCAACATGTGCTGTGTGTGTTTTACTTTGGAAACATGCTGCTGTGTATTTCTCTGCTGTGCAGGGAAATACGCAGCAGCATGTTACTGCTGGCAGGAGAGAGACCTGTATTGTTTTCTCACAGGTCTCTGCCCTGTAAGTATTACTCAGCATTTGCCGATGGCCAGCAGAGTATCTCTGGCCAGGTCCCAGTAATTGACATCTGTATCCACCATTGGCGGTGTGGGTAGAGTAGCATGCGCAAGCCCCCTACTCGGAAATGTAAATCACGTATATGTATACTTGAGTTTGCTCAGCCCTGCTGTCCTGTAGCAGTATTTCTGCTATAGGGCAGCGGGCAACTGGTTAAAATACTGAATGCACTAAATTCCTTTGTACACTCAAAAGCATGGATCCTGTTGCACACCTTTTGGTTTGCTAACATGAAAAACATTGTGGTAATGGAATATTTAACTGCTTCCCTTAAAAATACTAAGGAAAAGGTCAGAACCACCTGTGATTCCTGTATATACTTTACTACTTTGTCACAAAACCCTGTGCTTATCAATCGCTGTTATCCAATTAGCCTTTAGATTTTAGGTATAACAGTTAAATCAGAGGTGCTCAACCTTTTGAAGAGTGAGGGCCACTTAAGTGATTTGGTAACCAGTAGTAGGACACAATGAAATTAAATGGTTCAGAATTTCAACAATTTTCTCCTGCAGCCACTGAATGCCATCTGGAGAAGGGAGAGGAGGAGAAGCCAGATTTCAACGTTTGCAGGTAGAAAATGTTTATTGTGCCTTCAAAATAAAACATTTGAAATTCTGGACCATTTCATGGAAATCCGCAGCTTTTCCCTGCAGATCAGTGTAAAAGCAGCCTAATAGTTGTTAACCCTTTTATAGGTTCTAATATGCCCACTGCAAAAGATCAGTTTATGTTTTGTTTAATACATTGACCTTCTTCGTGCTCTCTCTGTGGCAGCCTGCTTCCTCCGCTGCTGGTGCCTGCTCAATGCACTCTGATGCTCTTGAAAGACGGGTCAGCAAACTCAGATCACAATCAATGGGTTGCCAAGCCCAGGCATACACTTCCATGGTTTGAGGTCGAGGTGCAAATCAGAGAACTCTGAGGGCCACAGGTTGAGCACCCCTCAGTTAAATGATTCTATTTCTTATGAAAAATAGAATTTTTGCACCCACCATGAAATCCATATCTTGTAGTCCATTACGGAATACAGGAATTCTTGGAATTCAAGACTATTGGCTTATACAGGAGAAATGGACACTGGAAACAAACAAATCAAATGGCCACCACAGGATAACCTTGCCCACAACCATCATGCCTCGGTTTGTAGCAAAGTAGTACCAAGAAAATCAACAAAAACAGAGGGGATAGACCTATGTCCCTCAATAGACAACAAAAAAATTATTTTGCATTGAGTATAAATATCTGATTTTCTTGAGCATCCATTGAGGGACTACCCACAGCTCAAAGAGCCATCTGCCTCTCTGAAAAGTTCCCAATGATAATTTTTATTTTTTAGCTATCTGTAATGGGGTAATTCTTCCCAATGACCACAAGGATAAGGAGCATTCTTCCCACTGACCATCACACTAATGTATCATGAGATGTAGTTATACATTTTTAGCAGGGGTTTCCTGAGACCAGAAAGTCATTTTCAAGGGTTCCTCTATGTTCAAAAAGTTGGGAAAGGCTGATCTAGACAGAGTTGTCACTGTAGAAAAGCAGGACTATGGCAGGAGAACACCAGTAAGGAAGAAGTAGGAAAATTGTGACCGGTTCCCCACACCTGACACAGCAAGAATGGGTTGCCGCAGCTCACTCTAAAGATGAGCAGACAGGGACAGGCAGCACTGCCATAATGCCATGGCCCAGAATACTGGCCTAATTTGCAGCAGAGTCCTGTGAAACTAGACACAGATCAGGTACACATACTTACAATATGCCATGGCCCTGGTCCTGACATAAAGCATGGAACAATACTGGCCTGAACTTAAACATGTGATCCTGGAACATAGATGACTGGGATTGTAGGGCCATCACAGAGAGAACACCAAAATGGAAACCTGGGAAAACCTGTGCTCGGTAAACTTCAGAGATTTCCAGAATTGAATATATCCAGCATGAATCTACCAGGGTATGTTGGTAGACTTCCAGGATGTCCTATATGTTTCAATAGCTGTTCATAGACATTCTTCCAAATGAATAGAGAACAGCAGAGCTGAAGAACTCCAGAATTCCAATAATCCAGAATTGTAAGAATTTCTGTGTCCTTCAGTGGAATATATAGATATGTTATCCATATCTCAAAGGCTCCATATCTGCTCCTCTCAATAGATGCATAAAGGGAACTCACAATCATTCCCTGGCAGAAGGTGATAACCTGTTTAATTTTTTTACATTAATACCACTGATATCTCTATGTATTTTGAATGATTTACAGTTTGACTACATGTTTAGTTTTGCAACAAGAGGTACAATGTGGGATCAATTTTCAAATGACAGAATCAGACATAGTCCTCTACTATCATTATACAGGAGATTAGCCTTCGTATCAAACTGTGTTTATGTAAAATGATATCTCTTTCTGTTGCAGTGATATTGCTGACTGTTCTCATATTGTACTGTTTCAGTGGGATTGCCTTTTAGCTTTTGGATGGGAAGAAATAATGAGAGACATTTTTACTGGGGTGGCTCTAACCCTGGAATTCAGAGATGTGGTTGCGGCATCGAGAAAAGATGTGCAGACCCCAAATTGTACTGTAATTGTGATGCTGATCACCTTCAGTGGTAAGTGAAGATATATTTCTATTCATCAGAAATATTCTTACATGCCACTTACCTCTGATAATATTGCATAGTCAGCTGATATGTATAATAAATATTGCAGTAATCGTTAATATTTCTAAAAGTATTTTGTACTGATTTCAGTTATAGTTGACAGGGAAAAAATGTCCATAAATTGATAGCCTTTACAATTGAAGATAAAACATATCTGTTGAAGAAAATCGATAAACTAATATACCTTTCTTTTAGGAGATATGACAGAGGGTTATTGACCTTCCGTGATCATTTACCAGTGACCCAGGTGGTTGTCGGAGATACAAACCGCACTAGTTCTGAAGCTTGGTTTTTAGTTGGACCTCTACGTTGCTATGGAGACAGTAAGCAACACCTTCCATATCTAAGAATTAGGATATGTTCTTAAATGTTCCTTATCTAGCAGGTCTCCCTCTGGTTCATCAGGCCTTGGCCCAAACATTCAACTAAGAAAGAGTAACACTTGGTCCTAGTGTGCCATTGTTTATTTTGACAATGCCCTGTAAATGGCATAAAAACCTATGCTGCTCTCCAACATGTGAAATGCTTGATGCCAACCAATAGACTTTCCTGTAGTATGTACGAATATGATCTTCCAAAATCGACAAAGCCGTGTGTCAGCAAGAAATGCGGGGCTGAGCGTGACATGTTCTTGCCCATACGCGGCTTTCTTTTGTAGTAAGCTTGTCCCTCCAGCTTGCTGTAGTTTGTGTGAGAGGAGAATTTAGGACAGAGGTGACCGCTGTATACACCGTACACACCGAGAGCAGTGGCTGCAGCTTATACCATCCTGGTGGGAAATTGGAGTCCGGTCTCTTAAGGGGCCAGTATAAATGAACTAGCCATTAAGGTATAGCAATGAATGAGCATAGATTGACCAATGGTTAAAGCGTTTGTGACCTATTTTTCATATAGTTCAAGGAAGAAGGTGAGTGCATGGTACACCTATTGATGACGGGAAGCACTTTGGATTAATGCACACACTGGATAAAGTGAATACTGAAACACATTTTGTGGTGCACGCTGTGTTTTGTTTAATGTGCGTGCATACGTTTGGTTCACTTAGCTTATTTAAACGGTGTTGCACTCCGGAATATGGTTTGTTTTTTTATGTATGTTTTTGAGAGCCATGACTGAGTGAAGACATATTTGGAGGGCGCAAACACGGATTTATCACTACATGAAGGATTTATTCCAACAAAAAGCATTTGACCTATTATAATTTGTAGGTCAAGCCTCTAGGTGAGCGGGAAGTGTGTCTTGACTACACGGCTTTGGAAAGTGGTTGACAACACATTTATTTGGACATTCTGAACTCAGGATCTGGACTATTTTTTTTTTTTTCACAGTTGATTTATTGTGGATTGATGTTTATTGTGTATTTGAGCTTTACTTAATTTATTTTTCTGATGAGGAGTTAGCGCAGTACATTTTTTGTTAAATTGTCTTTTTTAAGTGAGAGTATACTTGGTGAGTGGTTGCAGCAATCTCCCCCTTCTGTCATTTATTCTTATTCATGCTATAATGTAACAGCGCAAAAGCGTGAGTTACTACATTGGAAGATTTCCTTTTACCTCCTGCTCTGGTGACAACTGAAACATTTTGGATTCACGTCACTCTTTGTGAAATGTCCCCAACAAGACAGTCAGGAAAAGATGGTCTGACAGAGGTTTAATCTCTTTCCTAAATAAATATATCAGTCTGAAATGGGACAATAACTAAAAGAACTGCCAGCCCTCTCCTGAGATAGCCTTGCACAATTTCTTAAAGTTTGGCCCCATGAGGCTGTGTGCATAGCTGGATTGCTCTTAGGGACAGGAATTCTTTGCCTTCTCCCTTCCCACCTTTGTTCCCTTTTTCCCGCCTTTCCTGATTTTACTATCTTTTTTATTGTTAACTTTCTTTCTACTTTTCTTGGCTTTTTCTTTGTTTGTCCGCTCTTTCTTTTTTCTTCCATGTATTCACAATCTTCTATGATACTGTTACAAACTCTCTGAAATTCCCTGGAAATGGTATTCCCCTCAAGTCTCATCCTGAATACCTATTCTACTTTCAAGTGTGTGTGTGTATATGTATATATGTATTTATACATAGTGGGTATAGAAAAAAAAATCATCCCCTCCCCTTTGAAATAATCACATTTTGTTGCTTTGAAACCTGAAATGAAGACAAGCGCAGTTTTTGTTTTATTCAGCTGTAATTACTCAGTGAAACGTATAACATCCAAGTGAAAGGTAAAACATCAACATGTCAGAAAAAATTCAAAAGCAGAATCACTGAGCTGGAAAAAGGATCACCCCCTCCTAAAAATGACTTGTAAACTCAATCAGGTGTAGCTAATAACCTTCTCAATGGCAAAAAAGCCTTTTGACATTCAACTGTGATCAGCTGTGGTCATTTTGATTAGCTCAGCATGAAAAGAGCTTTCCTGGATCATTTCAGTTCTTGGTAGTGCAACTGATGCAAACAATCCACTATGGGTGGCAAGACACTGTCAAAAGATCTCCAGGATAAAGTTGTGAACAGGAGATGGATACAAAAACATTTTAAAGGCTTTATTAATGCCTAGAAGCACAGTGAAATCTATTAAGTAGTGGAAGGTATTTGGTACAACACAGACCCTCCCTGGATCAGGATATTGCTCTAAACTGGATGAAAGAGCCAGGAGGAAACTGGTCAGAGAGGCTACCAAGAGGCCTACAGCAACTCTGAAGCAGTTGCAGGAATTTGTGACATAAAGGGGTCATTGTGTGCATGTGACAACAATATCACAAATCCTCCACAAATGTGGCTTGTATGGGTGGGTTACAAGTAAAAAGCCACTCCTCAAGAAAGGCCACATGCAGTCATGGCTGAGCTTTCCCAAAATGCACCTTGAAGATTCTGTGGCTATGTGGAAAAATGTGTTATGGCCAGATGAGACTACAATTGAATTATCTGGCCTCGACACTAAACGATATGTCTGGCAGTAATCCAATGCAGCTCACCATCCAAATAACACCATTTCTACAGTAAAGCATGGAAGTGGTAATATCCTATTATGGGGGGTTTCTCTGCAGCAGGGACTGAAGCACTTGTCAGGATAGAAGGAAAAATGGATGAGGCAAAATTCCATCAAATTGTTGAGGAAAATCTCGTGCTCTCTGCCAGAAAATTGTCAATGAGAATAAGGTTTACCTTCCAACATGACAATGGCCCAAAGCACACAGCAAAAATGACCACACAGTGCTTGGAGGAGAAAAAGATGAATACCCTTGCATGGCTTAGTCAGAGCCCAGACTTAAACCCCATTGAAAATCTGTGGAATGACTTGGAGACTGCCGTCCACAAACCGTCACCATCAAATTTATCTAAACTTAAACATTTATGCAAAGAAGAGTGGGTAAACACTGCAAAGTCTAGATGTGCAAAGATAGTAGAGAAATATCTCAACAGACTAAAGGCTGTAATGAAAGCAAACGGCGGTTCAACAAAATACTGACACACGGGGGTGATCCTTGTTCAAACTCAGTGATTCTGTTTTTGAATGCTTCTAATTTGTTTTCTGATCTAATGTTTGTGCTATAGCTTTCACTTGGATGTTATAAGTTTCACTGAGTAAATACAACTGGAGAAAACAAAAACTGTGTCTGTCTTCATTTCAGGCTGCAAAGCAACAAAATGTGATTATTTTAAAGGGGGGCGATTATTATTATTTTTTTACTGTTAATATTTACTTTTATTGATATTAAAGATAAATACATCTTACAAACAACTTCAAATACATTCTCCCACACATATAGAGAAGGGAGAAAAAAAATTACTAAAGAGCATATCAATTAGTACTTACTGACTATAACTAATGTACAATCTCCCTTATATATAAAATATGATTAATTTAGTCCAAATTATTAGTAAGATTTACCATTCTGGCATATCCATCACATTCTTTGGGCTAATAATCATGCTCATCACAATTCCCTTCCCTTCCTCCTCCCCACAACACAACATACTTCTCTTCAACCTTACAACACATATATAACATGTCTACTCTACTTGTCTCTATTTCCCTCTACACATTTAGTTGCTCTTTATTTATTTTTTACAAGAACCATGTCTTTATTATTCACTTGTCATTAGCCTTTCCATCACTCACTGTATAGGCATTACATCTATGTTGTTAACCCATTTTCCCCATATTTTAACATATTTATCCAGGCTACCTCTATGATGATACACCATATGTTCCCTCTCTATTACTTAATTTATCATTTTAACCCATAATATATGGCTTGGGGGAGTCCTGGACAACCACCTTTGTGCAATCAATTTCTGAGCCAGAAACAACAATCCATTAGCTGCTAACCATCCATACTTTGGAGGTCATCCTTTGTCCAATCACCCCAGAATACACACCCTTGGGTCCTTTGGGATGTTAATCCCATATATCTTATTAATTGTATCAATCACCTGTGTCCAGTATCTGAACAACTTGGGACATCTCCACAACATGTGTATTAATATACCCTCTTCCTGCCCACATCATGGACACAGTGGATCATCTCTTCTGTCCAAATTAAATAATTTTTGTGGGCTTCTATATGAATGATGGATAATAATTAAATGAGTAAGTTTCTGAGACTCTGACAGAGACACATCTTCCACATTCTCCAGTATACCTAACCAATCCTGATCACTCATCATCTTTGTCTCATCTTGCCACAGCCCTCTACATCTTAATAGTGTTGCCTTTGAAGTTTTCTTTAATAATGCCTTATAAATTACTGATATTTGACCCTTCTTTGTAGTTGACCCTATTACCTTATGTAAGTATTGATAAAAACTCTTGGTTGGTAAATTGAATTCATCTTGTAAAATACAAATTCCTTCAAAACTTGACCCTGGCCTTGAAATAACTGAGGAACATATTCAAGGCCACATATCTGCCACTGGCCATTACCTTGCTGTGAGAGCCGACCACTCATCTTACTTCCCTTTTTCCTCCTTGTAATTTTCTGGTGTAACTGACAGCACTTCCTCAGTGTAATGCTTTCTTACACTGGCACTTACACAACCAGCAAGACTATCACGCCGCTCACACGCCCAGGAAACACATGCCGGTCACTATGCCACCTTCTGTCTCCTGCTCCCATTCCACCTGTCTGGCTACACAGGACCCGGATGTCACGCGGCTTCTGGGCTTCCACTGCCACTGTCCGACTCCAGCTTCCACATGGCCGCCTATACAGGCCAAGATTCTCATGCGGCTCTCATGCTTCCCAGTCAGGATATCCATGGGATCTTATACACAGCTGCAGAGCAAGCTTCCACTCACATGGTCTGCCTAACTCCTCCCATAAATCATTCATTGGTGATTATTTTCTATGCCCACTGTATACAGTTAGGTCCATATATATTTGAACACAGGCACAATTATAGTTTTTTTTTTTCAGGTATTTACCAAAACACATTCAAGCTATAGTTATATAATGGATATGGGCTGAAAGTGCACACTCTCAGGTTTAATTTGAGGGTATATAAATCCAAATTGGAGGAAGGGTTTAGGAATTACTGCTCTTAAGAGTAGCCACCCTCCCTTTTCAAGGGACCAAAAGCAATTGGACAATTGAACCAAAAGCTGTTTCATTGCCAGGTGTGGGCTACTCCTTCGTTATTTCTTCATCAATTAAGCAGGTTAAAGGTCTGGAGTTGATTCTAAGTGTGGTATTTGCATTTGGAATCTATTGCTGTGAACCTACATCATGCGTTCTAAGAAGCTGTCCATGCAAGTGAAACAGGACATTGTAAGGCTTTAAAAATGAAACAAATCCATCAGAGCGATAGCAGCAACATTAGGAGTGGCCAAATCAACAGTTTGGTACATTCTGAGGAAAGAAGAACTCACTGGTGAGCTCAGCAACATAAAAAGGCATGGACATCCACGGAAGACAACAGTGGGTGGATGATCGCAGGATCCTCTTTATGGTAAAAAAAAAAAAACCATTCACAACATGCAAACAAGTGAAGGACACTCTCCAGGAGGTGCGCATATCATTGTCAAAGTCTACAATCAAAAGAAGACTTCACGAGAGCAAATACAGAGGGTTCACCAAAAAGTGCAAACCATTCATAAGCCTGAAGAATAGAAAAGCCAGATTAGATTGTGCCAAAAAACATCTAAAAAAAAAACCAGACCAGTTCTGGAAAAGGATTCTTTGGATGGATGAAACTAAGATTAATCTGTACCAGAATGACAGGAAAAAATAAGTGGGGAGAAGGCTTGGAACAGCTCATGATCCAAAGCACACACAACGTCATCTGTAACACATGGTGGAGGCAGTGTGATGGCATGGGCATGCATGGCTTCCAGTGGCACTGGGTCATTGGTATTTATTGATGATAAGACAGAAGCAGCCAGATGAATTCTGCAGTGTTTACAGATATACTGTCAGCCCAGATTCTGCCAAATGCACCAAAGTTGATTGGACAGCTCTTCACAGTACAGATGGACAATGATACAAAACACACTGCAAAAGCAGCCCAGGAGCTTTTGAAGGAAAAGAAGTGAAATATTCTACAATGGCCGAGTCAATCACCTGCTCTCAACCCAATTGAGCATGCATTTCACTTGCTGAAGGCAAAACTAAAGACAGAAAGACCCACAAACAAAGAACAACTGAAGACAGCTGCAGTTAGAGCCTGGCAAAGCATCAGAAAGGAGAAAACCCAGTCTTTGGTAATATAACCAATTGATTCTCACAAGCAGCCAAAAACTATTATAACATACTATGTTGACTTATTTAGTGAGTGTAACTAAATAGCTACAATCCAGAAAGCAGCTCACAGTTACACATACTCATAACATGTGCATAATCTAAATAAATAAACACACAGTGCTGCGCTTCCATTAAATGCCCAAAAACACATGTGAATGCAAACAAATGTAAAAATAAAGTGAACAATTCTGATTGCAAAGTCTCTTAAATAGTGTTGCTCCTTCAACTTCAAAAGAACTTCATAGCTCTATATCTTCTTAAAGCTTAGTCCTTGGCAGGGGCAGACTGACAACTCATGGGGCCCCCAGGCAATAGGGGATCATGGGGCCCCTGTGTCCTTGCCCAAACTAAAAAAATCCTATGAAAAAGGTACCAGGGGCATCTCATGGGGCCCCCTACTGACCCCGGGCCCTCTACGGGCAGTGCCCGAGTTTCCAAATGATCAGTCCGCCCCTGGTCCTTGGCACACAACGTCATCTGTAAAACATGGTGGAGGCATGAAGTCCTTTCTTCCTTTTGGAGTGGTTCATTTGCAAATGTTTTTAGAGCTTCACTGTAGTACAATGGTTAGCTTGGTGCAATATCTGAGTCAATTGAAGTCTTACATTGTATGATACTGTTCACTAAGATTTTCCTTTTAATATGTCAGGGAACACATGGAATACTGTGACGTTTATGAAAGCAACACGCCTCATTTTCCCAACCTTCAAACCCGGGAATAGTATGGATATCTCCTTCTTTTTCAAGACTACATCCCTCTCTGGAACCTTTCTGGAGAACATGGCCAGTGACTTCAAGATCTTTATCAGAATTGAGATGAACAGTGAGTTAGCCATTTTTGTTTTCACATCCCATGCCTTCAAGAAATACAAAAAAACATACCGGGTCTTGAATGTTTTCATTAACGTATTCTGATGAAGACTAAAATACATAGTATGGGGAAAGGAGGGGAAAGAAATTCAATGCTGTTCTGTGCACTTTGCAATGTTATTTTAAAGCAAACCTTTCATAGCACATGCTCTGGCTCTAGAACAAAACTTGAATATCTCCTAAACTGTGCACATTTAGGAGATATTCATTTTACGTACAGATAAGCTTTAATATAAGCTTAACAAAAGTGACTTTACTGCCACTTTCCCCAGCCTGGACCGGCTGAGTGGCGTCACCCAACAGTGCGCTTCAGCCCACGGTTGGCTGAAAATGGGCTACAGAAGTGCAAAACAAACTGCACTCCTGTGATCCACAGAAGTATAGCCAAAATAGCTGTACTTCTCCTTTAAATGTGGACAGCGCAGTCTTGAGCCAGTCTATCGGCCTGGAGAATAGAGGGGGGAGGAAGAGGGGGGAGCATGAGAGTACCTTGCTCTCCAATGCTACAGGGCTATTTATTTCACTTGATGCCTACAGCTTAGTGTAGTTCCTGTGCATTACCACTTAGGTTAGAGGAAATAATTTATATATATATATCTCAAGCTATTGAGTAACTGCTCACATCAAACATGTATCCCCACATGGAAATGATATCTTATAAATAGGTGAATGCTGCACTCACTCCTATATTAGCTCACTGTGTCATCCTACTGATGTTAACTAATTAATTGACTTACTGATTAGCTGCAAACAAAAAAATGAATACTAATAAAATATTCTACACCTACTGGGTATTGTGCCCAACAGTGCTGTGCTGTAAATCATAAAAATTATAAAGTGATATACATACAGCAATATCCTGATGGTATTATCCTACTGAGTGTTGATTCCAAAATAGCAGTGCTGCAGATCCTAATGATAATACAAAATATATTAATAAAACCAAAAAGTTCATTAATTTTCACTGATCAAAGATTATCAACATTTACGTCAATATAGAAGTGCTATTACTCTTAGATATTGGTGCCAAAGTGTAATACATATAAGTCCTATGTGATAATATGCAAATACCTTAGAACAAAAAGCACACACAAATCAAATAAGTTTCCACTAGTAAAACATGTCCATGAATTACACAGTGCCAAGTGCACTTTATGTATTAATTTCACTTTAAAATCTTCACTTAGGAGAGATTTCTTCTAACTTCTAGTTGTCACTACAGGACAGGAAGCTAATAGAAATCTCCATAATGGGACAGGGGTTTATTCATTTGGTGCTCTACACAAGAAAAAAAAATGTTGGCTTTAAATATACTTTTAACTTTTTCTTTTCATTTTGCACTGAATGCTTACAAGATATAAGGCATTGTTTGCATATCCATCACATAATACAATGGGGAAAATAATTATTTGATCCCCTGCAGATTTTGTAAGTTTGCCCACTCACAAAGAAATGAAGGGTCTATAATTTTTATCATAGGTGTATTTTCAATGATAGAGACAGAATATCAACCACAAATACAAAAAAAATATGATACAAATGTTAGAAATTGAGTTGCAGTTCAGTGAGTAAAATAAGTATTTGATCCCCTATCAACCAACAACAATTCTGTCTACTGCAGACTGGCTATGTGCTCATGTGGTACTGTCAATTTAAGAAGGTGTTCCTAGTGACACCTGTCCACAGAATCTCTTTCTTCCACCTCACCATCATGGGCAAGACCAAAGAGCTGTCAAATGATGTCAGAGATAAGATTATAGATCTACACAAGGCTGGAATGGGCTACAAGACTATCAGCAAGAAGCTTGGTAACAAGCAGACAACTGTTGAAGCGATTATTCACAAATGGAAAAAATACAAAATAACCATCAATCGCACTCAGTCTGGAGCTCCATGCAAGATTTTGTCTCATGGGGAAAGGATGATCATGAGAAAAATGAGGGATCAGCCCAGAACTCCATGGGAGGAGCTTGTGAATGATCTCAAGACAGGTGGGACCACAGTCACCAAACAAGCCATTGGTAACACAATACACCACTGTGGATTGAAATCCTGCAGCTCCCGCAAGGTCCCCCTCAAAAAGGCACATGTACAGACCCATTTAAAGTTTGCCAATGAACATCTAAATGATTCAGAGAAGAATTGGGAGAAAGTGCTGTGATCAGATGAGATCAAAATTGAGCTCTTTGGCATTAACTCTACTCGCTTGGAGGAAGAAAAATGCTGACTATGACCCTAAGACACCATCCTTACAATGAAGCACAGAGGTGGAAACATTATGTTTTTGGGAATGTTTCTCTGCTAAAGGTACAGGATGACTTTGCCTCATTGAGGGGACAATGGATGGGGCCATGTATTGTAAAATCTTGGATGAGAACCTTCTTCCCTCAGTCAGAACACTGAAGATGGGTGTTCCAGCATGAAAATGACGAAAAACATACTGCCAAGGCAACAAAGGAGTGGCTCAAGAGGAAGCACATTAAGGTCATGGAGTGGCCTAGCCAGTCTCTAGACTTTATTAATAAAGAAAATTTCTGGAGGGAGCTGAAACTTTGAGTTGCCAAGCGACAGCCAAGAAACCTTAAGGATTTAGAAAAGATCTGAAAAGAAGAGTGGACCAAAATCCCTCCTGAGATGTGTGCAAACCTGGTAACCAACTATAAGAAACATCTTACCTCTGTGCTTGCCAACATGGATTTCTCCACCAAGTACTAAGTCATGTTTTGCTTGGGGATCAAATACTTATTTTACTCGCTGAACTGCAACTCAATTTATAACATTTGTATCATGTGTTTTTTTTTCTGGATTTTTGGTTGATATTCTTTCTCTATCATTTAAAATACACCTATGATAAAATGATAGACCCTTCATTTCTTTGTAAGTGGGCAAACTTACAAAATCTGCAGGGGATCACTTTATTATCCTTAAAAAAAACAGACAATGTCATTAAAATTTGATTATTTTCATCATATACAGTGGGGAAAATAGTTAAGTGATATTTGTATAATAGGAAAAGCAGCTATCTTTAAGTGTGATGATTGTCTTACTAACCATTTACAAATGATCCTTTTCTTCCATCGTTATCAATTTGTGTGCACTAGCAACAACTGACTTGGCATTTATTTATGACATTGGTAACGGCCATGAAAATGTGACTGTAAAATCTCCACTTCCTCTAAATGACAATGAATGGCATGAAGTAAAAGCTGAAATGAACGTTAAACTTGCTCGAATCAAGGTGGACAGACTTCCATGGGTTATCCGCAACTTCCCTATCCAGACTTACCTGAACACATCATATGACCGACCACTTTATGTAGGTAAGTTTATAGACAAAGAAGATTTAATCCAGTAGCACTTATAGTACATGGACACAATTGTATTTACACTTTGCTAGCAAATCCACCTGGAAATACTTGAGAATGATGCTCAAGATGATCTTATTTGCAATAGGGTCGGTTTTACCCCTCATTGAGTCTACTCCAACATCCAGACCCCCAGCAGGAAGAACTGGTCGAACCTCTATCATTCAGAACCTCAGGATAGAAGACAAGTAGCTCATCTGAAATGCTGAGCCTAGCTTGCCATGGCCAGGCCTAGTGTGGAAAAAAATGTCAATCGTATTTCATGCAAAAAAATTTAATTTGTCCATGTGTCTCACAAGCAAATGTGTTTTTTTATATCTTTTTCGTCCAGGAAATCTGATTCATTCTTAGGTCACAGTCACATGTCCAGTGGCCATACACTTTGTTATTGTATTGGCAGAATTTCCCTAGGGTTAAAACATTTTGAGTACAAATTTGTGATGCTGGCTTAAGTCAGTGCCTATTTGTTTGGTATGGAAGGCATTTTTCCTTTGGTAAGGAAAGCAGTGAAATCAATAAGTGAGAGAATTTGATTTTCCTAGCTGGAAATTTGGCCTTAAATTGCATTTTTCTCTGTTTACCTAACACACTGTAATTATTTCAATATAACTGTAAGGGTGTCTCAGGGGGGAGGGGAGATGAACTCCTATCTCTCAGTAGTACACCCAAGCTGTAGAGCAGTATCTGGCTAACAGGGTGTCTTGAGCTCCAATGATGTGGGAATTTAGCACACCAATGTTCTTTAAATTTTTAGTGCTTCCACCTAAAATGGCCTTAGATTGAAGGGTGGGCTCCATTTAAGGAACACTTTGTCTCATGGGTGTATATTCCTTGCATACTTTTGCATCTATGAAGAAAGTTAGGTCCAAACATGAATGTTTCCAATGCTTTACTTGTTGGGTAGGACAAGAGGACAAAGGAGGTGGAATACCAAAATGTCTTTGAAGGTTCTCATTTAACCAGGTCATGGTATATCTAGTAGTAGGTAGTCACAATCAACTAGACTTGTTATGTAATGTCGAAGAGATAACCTAACACTTAAGAAGTGGCTTGGCTATTAAACATATTCAACATTATAGAACATTTCCAGCTAAATGTGACTAACATTTACTAGATAATTACCAAAACTCCCCTTCCAAGAAGCTTCTGCAACCTCTTGGCTAACAGTTGCTAGGTGGGTCACACCATCTAGAAGCATTCTGTAGAGCTTTTTCTGGTGGGCATAATCCTCACAAAACAAGAGATTCAAGTGTAGCTCTGTTCAGTTGGTGACTGTAGCAGAATGACTCTTCTTAGGCCCAATCCTAGATTGTAAGCTCGAAAGAGCAGGGCCCTCGAACCCCTCGTGTAGTGTATTGTTACTGTCTCGTCTCATGTTCTGTCTCCCTTGCTACTGTACAGCGCTGAGCATACCCTTTGGCGCTATATAAATACTGTATAATAATAATAATAAATAATATGGCATGTTTTATCTAGTAGTGCGACAACACCCTCTAGATCAGCTCTTCAGGCTTGGGGCCTAAAACCAGACACACAGCCTGTTCTAGCAAATTCCCTTTCCCCGGCATTGGGAAAGCTGAAGGGCCTTCATTTAGAATTGATGGCTTCTGGGTAGCCCTTACAGAATGTGGCCTCCCTGTTTTGTCAAAGTAGTAGAATCTGAAGTGCGCAAATGCGGTGAGGAACAAATATGAGGAATCTGAAGTGCGCAGTGCGGTGCTGAACAAATAAGAAAAACAGTTACATGAAAATATACAGTATTGCATAAGAAATGCACAGTTAGTGAGAATTGGTCTATAAAGAGTCACTTAAGCATAGTCAGTCCATGTGCTATGCCCACCAGTGTTGGAGCGCAGTTAACTCTCACCCAAAATTCTGCCTCCTTCCACTCACTCAGTTGTCTCAGCTGCTATGCAAACACAGGGTCTAGCTTCCAGGACTGCATTTTAGGAAAGCTAACCCCCTTCATCAGCCTTACAGCAGTTTTTAAAAGCCTAGCAGCAGAAGACAATCAGCAGCTGAAAACCATTTTGAATGCAGAGCAACATTGTTAATATTTCACAGCAAAACAATTACATTTCCGGATAAAATGTAGCAATTGTTAATAGGTGTGTAAAACATTTTCTAATTTGTTATTTGGTGGTAATGGGAAATGAAAAAAGTATCATTCTGCTAAAAAAAACTTCTTTTAACCGCTTCCATACAGGGCACTTTTACCCCTTTCTGCCCAGACCAATTTTCAAGTTTCAACACTCTCACACTTTGAATGACAATTGCACGGTCATACAACCCTGTACCCAAACTAAAATTTTATCATTTTCTTCACACAATTAGAGCTTTCTTTTGGTGGTATTTAACCGTTTCAATACCGTGCAATTTTACACCTTCCTGCCCAGGCCATTTTTCAGGTTTCAGCGCTCTCACACTTTGAATGACAATTGCGCGGTCATACCACACTGTACCCAAACTAAAATTTTATCATTTTCTTCACACAACTAGAGCTTTCTTTTGGTGTATTTAATCACCGCTGGGGTTTTTATTTTTTGCTAAATTAACAAAAAAAGACCAAAAATTTTGAAAAAAAAAACACGTTTTTCTTTGTTTCTGTTATAAAAGTTTACAAATAAATAATTGTTCTTCATAAATTTAGGCCGAGATGTATTCTGCTACATGTCTTTGGTGAAAATAACCCAAATTAGGATGTATTTTTTAGTTTGTAGGAAAGTTATAGAGTTCACAAACTATGGTATAGATCTGAATATTGATCAATCCTGAAGTACTGACAGCCAATCTAATTTCTTGAGGTCTAAGAATGTCAGAACAGTACAGATATCCCCCAAATGACCACTTTTTGCAGAGTAGACAGTCCGACGTACTTCATAAGAGGCATGGCGAGTTTTTTGAAGTTTGTAATTTTTTTGTCATAATTTTTCAGAAATGAAAAAATTAAAAAAAATGATTTTCACAATTTTTTTTTTTACATACTGTCACAGTGCACTACATCATATGAGTCATCATATAACTGGCATGGCGGTGATCAGAGACACTGACTAGTGACAGTATCAAAAAAAAAAATTGATAATTTTTTTATTATTATTTTTAATTTTTTATTAAATTTTTTTCTCTTTTGTAAGATTTTTTTTTTTTCACGTTTCACTATGACCAAAGTATTATAATGTTACCATAGTAACATTGTACTACTTTGGGGAAGTGATCGGTATTTTTTTTTTTTTTTTACACAATTTGCTTATACAATATATAATATTCTATAAGCAAGCATTTACTTGAATGAAATCGATTCATTCAGGGTTTTTTTTATTTTTGTGCTTAGCTGTGATTTGGCCAATGCTAATCACATGACACAGCTGGGCTGTGATTGGCCCAGCCTGTGCATGTGATCGCTGTGATCAATCACAGCTAGACACACTTGTATACAATGGCTGGCATGAAAGGAAGCCATCCATTGTATACAACTGTCATGTGACCTGCTGTGATTGGTCACAGCAGGTCACATGGTACTGGCACGGGCCGGTACACAGATCTGTCATCGGCCGTGTCCGAGGTACACGGCCAGTGACAGATCGCGCCGCAGCGCGGCCCTGTGGGCATGCCCATTGCGCATGCCTGAAAGGACGCCATATGGCGTCCACCCGGAGGGATGAGCTGTTCGCCCACCCGCCATCTGGCTATAGGCCGGGCGGCAACTGGTTAAAAATAAAGCTAGAGAACTGTTACTAAAACACAGTTAAAAATTATCCAAAAGGAATAAAACATCTAGTTATCAACTATTTTCATAATCGATTAGTTGGTCAACCGATCAGTATGCATTATTTGCTTACATATTAGCAGGGCCACTGCTAGATTATTTTGCGCTCTAGGCAAGACCAGCTACTTGCACACCCCCCCCCCCAACAAAAATATAACTGCACCTGTAGTTCTACTTCACCCCTCTTTCCCCTCACATTTTCCACCTTAGCACAAATCCTCTCATCCAAATACCCCCTCCTTGCATACATCCCCCTAAATCCCTCCGCTTAGCACAATCCCCTCCAAATTGCCCTTCTCAGCACAAGACCTTCCTCCCCACCCTCATAGCACAACCCCTCCCAATCCCCCCTCCTAGCACAAGTTCCCCCCCTTCCTCCTAACACAATTCTCCCCTCAGACTCTCTCTACTAGCACAAAATCCCACAATCTCCCCTCCCCGTCCCCTCTGCTAGCAAAAATTTCCCCCAATCCCCTCTCCTTGCGAAATATCCCCCCCAATCCTCCCTCGTAGTACAACCCCCCCATCTCCTCTCCTAACACAAATTTCCCCTAATCCCCCCTCCAAACACAAATCTCCCCTCAATCCCCCCTCCTAGCACAAATCCTTCCCCCAATTCCCTTTCCTAACACAAATTCCCCTAATCCCCTCTCTTAGCACAAATCCTCCCCCCCCACATCCCCCTCCCAGCACCAGTCTTCTTCCTTCCATCCCCCCACATAGGAAAAATTTCCCCAAATCCCTCCTCTAGCTAAAACCTCTTCAAATTATCCTTCCCAGCATAAAATTATCCCACCATACTCAAATCCCACCTTGCTTTTAGCACAAATTCCGTGCACCACCCCTCCCCCACCAAACCTCCCTCCTACACCTATTACATATCCCCCATTCCCTCTCCTAGTACAAACCCCCCACCTAATCATCCCCATTACCCTTCCCAGCACAAACAGCCCCATCCCCCTCCTGCAAAAACTCCTCAACACAAAATACTGTTACCCCCCCCCCCCTTTCATTATATACAGTCCCCCCCCCCCCCCCCGAACTTACAGGCAGGAAACCCGGTAGAGGTGCGAGTTGTGCTCTCACTCCTGTCAGTGGAGCGATCCTTCATACAGCAGATGACACAGGATCGCCCTTGGATATGGCTATACGCAGTCTGATTACCCTGCCCACTATCTCCTAAAATGAC